AGTCGGCACCCGTAACACACGTATAGGTTATTATCGCACCATGCATCCTTGAAGATACTTCAGTTCGCTGTATTAACCATATGAGAGAATAATTAATATCTAACGAAAAGGTAGCTTGTCTTGAACCGGCAAGTGGTGGTACCTATGCAGAGACTTTGGAATGCCAGAATGGCAAAACATTTCAATTATGTCATACGTGACAGGTAATATGACGACTGACAGAGATATTAGACGTCAAAATTATGCAAATATTTAACCCTCGCCCTGGCAGGGCATTTTTCATAACACGGCCTGGCAGGGGGGGGGGTCGATGCGACCCCCCCCCCCTCGCGATTGGCTCCTATGGCACCTAGAAACACCAAATTTGGTAGGTAGGTGGGACCCCTGGAGTTCTCGCCCCTGTGCAAATTTGGTTGCTCTAGGTGAATATTTAGGGGGGTTTTGGGGGGTATAAATGTAAAAATTTCGCGAAAAACAGGTCAAAGGTTTTTCGCTTATAACTTTTGATCTAATTAAGATAGAGCAAAAAGAAAAGCACCAGTGAACTCAGCACGTCAAGGCGTGTCGAATGATATACTTTTTAGCTTGCTTAAGTGTACTTAAAGTTTTTCTTAAATTTTAAGTAAACTTAAATTTATAAATTAAGTTCAAGTTAACCAAATTGCATCATATCGCATATCATTCGATTCGGCTGATCACCAGAAACACAATGATACCTACCATTTTTTAAGCTCTAGCGTCATTATGTGCCAAGTTATTGGCAAAAACGTCATTTGACCTCAGTTGACCTCATTTGACCTGACCCATGGATAAGTACACCAAACAAAGAAGCACCAAGTGATCTGCTGTTAAGTACTGTGGTTTCAAAGCAAAAAAGTGATAGAACGAAGCGGATATCTCCAGTATTTTCCGAATTTAGTATTTTCCCATAGGCTTAACATTACGACGTAATGACCTCTAACTGACCTCAGGTCAGTGACCTCAAAAAACCCGAACTATATGTTATACAACTCGGTGAACTTAGCACATCCTGAAACGTTGAAGGAAATCAGTGCAAAACTGTGAGTTGGACAGGTGCAAAAAGAAAATTGAAATTTGACCATGACCTTGTACCGGTTTTTCTGACCTGGTGACCTGACCCAAGGTCACCCGGACCTGAAATTTTCAGGTTATATGTAAAAAGGTTGCCCCATAGGCTGTGCCAAATTTGGCGGCGCTGCGCGCCGCCGTTTTTACGCTATCTTCGAAAAACCTTATGGGGGGTCGCATCGACCCCCCCCCCCTGCCAGGGCGAGGGTTAACTGATTCAACCTACAACATTCTTTGTTTCTGGCCCAGCTGAATCTTCCTTTAATTTAACATGGACCAATGATGATCCGGATTATAATGAATCGGGAATCCCAATAGGTAAACGTGACGTGATTTGTGATTTTCGGGCGCCCGGGCTTCGAGGTCATCGGCGCTCCGAATAAGTGTCCCAAGTGTCCCGACAAAATAATTGTTTATTATCTAAGCTAACTTTGTGGTCTAAGAGAGTTTATTTCCGTTTCAGTCGTACATATATACAAACGAAATAATAATCACCCCAGTGATCGGACAAGACTTTTGCTTACATTTTAACCAACAAATAATACAGCGACTTATGAAACAGCTTCCACGTTACAGTTCTGCGATAAGACGGAGAAATAATGACCGGCAAGCGCACCAGACTCAATTAAATCTTTTACAGCGCTCCTCTCGTACAAACTGCAATGAGGTGAAATGTGTACAAACCCCCGTGCTTTTAAAACGGTTTTGGCCCAAACATCGAAAAGAGGTCTGAGGCAAATTCGGCGACGAATAATATGAAAGCGAATCGGCGGCAAAAAAGTGTGATTAAATGAACGGGTATAATGCTATCGAGAGATTATGCATGCTGCAGAATAAAAGCAACTCAAGTTCCACTGTAATCTTCATCAGGAATAATGCTGCGCTAAATAATGTAATGTAAAATAATGTAATGTAAATAATGTAATTATTTGCATTATTTATATAGGTACTGCACTTTGGTCCGTCGGCCAACCGCCAATGCATGGCGGTTACTGGTTTGTTTATTGGGCTTTGTAGCGTACCGACTGTTAGGTACTGGTGCATAATTCAATACCGATAGTTCTGTCCATAAATTTTGAATGATGTCAATAATAATATACATAATTATCCGACAGATCAACACTTAACAGGGGTAATCTATAATTTATAATATATGCTGATTGAAACTATCACAGCCGTCAGCAGCCTGCATGCCTCTATTGTTCAGCTGTCATTCATCGGCCTCATAAGCGATACGGTTTACAAAAGGTAACATTCTGATCTCAGATTTATCCACCGAGGCGCCGTTTACCTTGACTCAACGCCAGAGCACGCGAGCGATTCGGCTCAACCGTGAGCTCGCTCAGAGCCGTGAGCTGTCCAACCCCGATCAATACCAGCCAGTCACCCGTCACTCGGAGCGGTTGCCCGAGAGTGACGGCAGCGCGGTGTCAGACACACCGACAGACACGCACGTGCGGCTCGGCGGAATTTCGGCGCCCAAATGTTCCGCTCCAATGGACCCGTGATGCGGTTAACTTCATTGTATGGGAGAGGCGTTGACAGGAACAATCTCATGCTGAGTTGGTGCCCCGTGCCGAAAAAAAGACGGCTCTTTCGTCAATCAAGACGTACGGGCAAACAGAAGCAGAGCTTGATAAACGACCGCGCTCATGCAAAAAGCAAACTGCGGAGTGAAGCTTCCGAAGGAGTGTAGGTAATAAGTAATAACACCATGAAAGGGTATAATGGGACACATACCTGCACACCATCGATGATCTCTCGACAACGATGAGCCTCCAGCCTGTCGTCGATGCCGATGACCAGCCCTTTGTACACATTGTCCACCAGCCTGACGTCCGCTGCTGCGGAGACGGATAACACCGCCGCCAGCAGCGGCACCAGCAGCGGCACCATCGCCAGTCCTGTGGACGTTGCCGCCAGCCGTGTCCCCCGCGCCGCACTGTCTCTGCACTGTCTGCTCTGAGAGTCACCGGCGGATGGTTGTCACCATGGCGACTGGATAAAACGAGACGTCACCCGCCGAACGTCGAATGCGACGGAGGGCGTCGGAGGCGACGAGTTTCTCGATGTTATTGCCGATACTTTGTCACACGCTGCGCGAGTATCGATGGCAACAGGTCTCAAAGTCACGGAGTTTTCAGCCGGAACCCAACGCCAATCTTGCACCACTTTTTGGAAGTTGACACTTGTGTGATGTAAAACAAACTTTCGAGTCCCTTTGATAGGCACTGTTGGTACTTGGTAGATTCACCAGCTTGTTCGGTAACAGAGTTCGTCGGTAACAAGTCCCGCCAACTCGAGTGCTGTCGGTCCCGTTGGGCTCGTGTCCACCACTGCTCGAGCACTCGTGACCTTTCGATCGTGGCAGAGGCGGTGCGGCGCGGTCCGTGACAACCCCACGTCCACCCGTCAGCCGTTCAGAGGCGGCACTGGCCCACCTCGTGTCTCTCAGCCCTCGGTGCGGAGCGGCGCGGCGGCACCTGAGCCCGCCGAGGACCGGCCGGGAGACGGCGCCACCTGCCCCAGGCCCCCAGCGCGCGGCCGCGCAGCGCCGGCAGGTGCTGAGTCGGCCCGTGGCCTCTGAAATGCCTCGGGGCCGTTTCTGCTGACCCAGCAGCGGCGGGAGCTGGGTAGGGAGGATCGTGTGTCGGGGAATGTCTACCTTTTGGATAACTGACCACTTGGACTGGGATAGATTAGGCAAAAGTGGACCCAGAAATACTGCCACAGGAGCAGGGGGGGGGGGGGGTTAGTATGAATTCCAAAAAATGTCTCAAATTAAAAAAAAACTTTGGGCTTTGGTTCCTTATGTACTGTTGTGTAAGAACGAAACTTGCTCTTTGATAAGTTCTGAAGTTTTCATCTAAAGGAAAAAAACTACAAATTGTCATCGCGGGAGAGCTGGGGCGCAACGCTGAGGATGGGAGTGTTTCTACTTTCCTCCTAACACTTACTGAATCCGCTTCCAGTAAACATGCCGACGTCGGCCCGACGTCGGTCCAACCTCGGCAGTCGGCACTACGTCGGCTGGATGTCGGGTATGCCCGCATGTTCCGACGTCGGGGCGACGTCGGACGGACATCGGCCGCTGTTTTGACCGTTAAAATAATATAAAATGCGTGTTTCATGTTTCATAAAGAGCTTCTGTATTCAAAATATCCCCAGGAAACTCAAATCTTCCTCTTTGCTTTGCTTTTGGCGCGTTGTCCCAGTAAACATGCCGACGTCGGCGACTGGGGGGCTCGAATCCCGCCGCCGGTTGATATTTTTGGTGCGTTGTCCCAATAAACATGCCGACGTCGGCCCCGTCGGTCCAACGACAAACGATCTCGTCAACCTCGGCAGACGACCTCGGCCCGACGTCGGCGTGGACTTCGGCTGGACGTCGGTACATGCGGGCGTACCCGACGTCCAGCCGATGTCGGGCCGAGGTTGAACCGACTTCGGGCCGACGTCGGGCCGAGCCTCGGCCCGACGTCGGGCCGACGTCGGCATGTTTACTGGGTTGCGGATTTAGGAGAGGTCATTTTGGTCATAAGACGGAAGAAAGGACCTGCAGAGACAGAGTTTTAAAAGAGCACTTTCAGAAGTGCCCAGGCTATAACATACACAAAGGTCCCGTCATTTTTCCACAGAAAAGCGCTTCGAAGGTCAGCCAAAATATTTTTAAACAACTTTTTTCCTCAGTGCGGCCCAAAAAGAAAGACAGAGATAATCTTGCATTAATGTGGGCATTCATATATCCTGGCCGGTACCTAACCTATGTTGTAGTTGGATAAAAGAACCATAAACGCTTATGTATGCAATGTATTCAAATGCATAGTAATGTATGATAAATAAGAATGACGTTCAACAAATCATCCAATGAGAAGGGTAATAATGATGACGTCACTAGATCCCTGTGGCTGTTTTATGAACATATGAAGAAGAATTTCATTTACCTTGGCTTGATTGGATCTGCCGGTTGTTTGTTGTTGCGCGTAGGTGCATTTTCTAATGGCATAGTGATATTTGCCTTTTATAACTGATCAAGTTTGTTTTGTAACCTTATATGCAACAACAAGGTTAAGTGGTACAGCAATGGCGATTGAAATTGAGTCTGCTGAGTGAGTATTTCAATTCTGATTTTCGGCTCATTTCGGGCTATTTCAACTCTACCGAAGTCGATTGAGCTGTATTCTCGTAGAACCCGGCATCGCATGTTCATTGGTTGAATCGGATTATTTTTTAGCAGTAGAATGCATCCAGCTGATTCGGTAGAGGTAGTGGTGCTTATACGGCGCTCTTGTTCCAAAATATGACGCTATCGTTCAGCATTGTAATTGGGTTTTATTTTATTTTTGGTAACTTCTTTTAGGAACTAATGTATGTTTGTGATTATAGAATAATGCCCACTTAACAACAACAACATGAGAGTACTGGAAATTTAAGGCCAATATTCCATTGTGAAACATTTGCTAACCCGCTAAAAAGGAGTTTGAGCGCCCCTGTTTTTAGGAAAGGCATTCTTAGGTATGTAACGGAAGTTAGCAGGGATTCAGCAGGGGCTCAGCAGGGATTCAGCAGGGATCGACGGCCCCTACGATTTCGCTGAATTTTGGTGGAGAGGTGCAGAATGGTGTCCTCTATCGAAAATCCTAGTGCCAAAATGCGGGGAATCCATCAGGGGGGCCACAAATCCCAAAAAACAGTATGCCCTCAGGGCACAATCGACGAACTTTGAAAAACCTACTTCTAGCCGTCAAAACAGCTAAAAATGCACGTCATTCGAAAGAGGACAAAATTTTACGTACAACGGTACCAAATTTAGGGGGCTAGCACCCCCCTGAACCGAACAAAACAGCTTCAAATATATGGGCCCGGGAGTATGTCCTCGGGGCATAAATAAACGTTTTCAACAATTTCAGGCCTATAATTCATCGACAAAATCCAGCAATATGCACATCATTGGAAAGAGCGTAACTTCCCAAACAAAAAACCCAAGTAACATTTTTCGATGGGGCCCACCTGGGGCCCACAGGACCCAATTGAAATTTGGGGCCCAATGGGGCGGCCCCTACGATTTTCTTCAAAATTTGCACAGACACTCTCCTGGGCCCCCTCTTCAATCTGGCTGAAGAAACCTACCTGGGAATCCAAAGGAAGGGGCCCAAAGAGGGCCCCAAAGAGGCCCTTTCTAAGTATTGCCCCTAATTTCGCGACCAACCCCGGCAAAATGCACATCATTGGAAAGAGCGTAATTTCCCAAACAAAAAACCCAAGTAACATTTTTCGATGGGGCCCACCTGGGGCCCACAGGACCCAATTGAAATTTGGGGCCCAATGGGGCGGCCCTTACGATTTTCTTCGAAATTTGCACAGACACTCTCCTGGGCCCCCTCTTCAATCTGGCTGAAGAAACCTACCGGGGAATCCAAAGGAAGGGGCCCAAAGAGGGCCCCAAAGAGGCCCTTTCTAAGTATTGCCCCTAATTTCGCGACCAACCCCCGCAATATGCACATCATTGGAAAGAGCGTAATTTCCCAAACAAAAAACCCAAGTAACATTTTTCGATGGGGCCCACCTGGGGCCCACAGGACCCAATTGAAATTTCGGGCCCAATGGGGCGGCCCCTACGATTTTCTTCAAAATTTGCACAGACACTCTCCTGGGCCCCCTCTTCAATCTGGCTGAAGAAACCTACCGGGGAATCCAAAGGAAGGGGCCCAAAGAGGGCCCCAAAGAGGCCCTTTCTAAGTATTGCCCCTAATTTCGCGACCAATCCCGGCAATATGCACATCATTGGAAAGAGCGTAATTTCCCAAACAAAAAACCCAAGTAACATTTTTCGATGGGGCCCACCTGGGGCCCACGGGACCCAATTGAAATTTGGGGCCCAATGGGGCGGCCCCTACGATTTTCTTCAAAATTTGCACAGACACTCTCCTGGGCCCCCTCTTCAATCTGGCTGAAGAAACCTACCGGGGAATCCAAAGGAAGGGGCCCAAAGAGGGCCCCAAAGAGGCCCTTTCTAAGTATTGCCCCTAATTTCGCGACCAACCCCGGCAATATGCACATCATTGGAAAGAGCGTAATTTCCCAAACAAAAAACCCAAGTAACATTTTTCGATGGGGCCCACCTGGAGTCCACAGGACCCAATTGAAATTTGGGGCCCAATGGGGCGGCCCCTACGATTTTCTTCAAAATTTGCACAGACACTCTCCTGGGTCCCCTCTTCAATCTGGCTGAAGAAACCTACCGGGGAATCCAAAGGAAGGGGCCCAAAGAGGGCCCCAAAGAGGCCCTTTCTAAGTATTGCCCCTAATTTCGCGACCAACCCCCGCAATATGCACATCATTGGAAAGAGCGTAATTTCCCAAACAAAAAACCCAAGTAACATTTTTCGATGGGGCCCACCTGGGGCCCACAGGACCCAATTGAAATTTGGGGCCCAATGGGGCGGCCCCTACGATTTTCTTCAAAATTTGCACAGACACTCTCCTGGGCCCCCTCTTTAATCTGGCTGAAGAAACCTACCGGGGAATCCAAAGGAAGCGGCCCAAAGAGGGCCCCAAAGAGGCCCTTTCTAAGTATTGCCCCTAATCTCGCGACCAACCCCGGCAATATGCACATCATTGGAAAGAGCGTAATTTCCCAAACAAAAAACCCAAGTAACATTTTTCGATGGGGCCCACCTGGGGCCCACAGGACCCAATTGAAATTTGGGGCCCAATGGGGCGGCCCCTACGATTTTCTTCAAAATTTGCACAGACACTCTCCTGGGCCCCCTCTTCAATCTGGCTGAAGAAACCTACCGGGGAATCCAAAGGAAGGGGCCCAAAGAGGGCCCCAAAGAGGCCCTTTCTAAGTATTGCCCCTAATTTCACAACCAACCCCGGCAATATGCACATCATTGGAAAGAGCGTAATTTCCCAAACAAAAAACCCAAGTAACATTTTTCGATGGGGCCCAGCTGGGGCCCACAGGACCCAATTGAAATTTGGGGCCCAATGGGGCGGCCCCTACGATTTTCTTCAAAATTTGCACAGACACTCTCCTGGGCCCCCTCTTCAATCTGGCTGAAGAAACCTACCGGGGAATCCAAAGGAAGGGGCCCAAAGAGGGCCCCAAAGAGGCCCTTTCTAAGTATTGCCCCTAATTTCGCGACCAACCCCGGCAATATGCACATCATTGGAAAGAGCGTAATTTCCCAAACAAAAAACCCAAGTAACATTTTTCGATGGGGCCCACCTGGGGCCCACAGGACCCAATTGAAATTTGGGGCCCAATGGGGCGGCCCCTACGATTTTCTTCAAAATTTGCACAGACACTCTCCTGGGTCCCCTCTTCAATCTGGCTGAAGAAACCTACCGGGGAATCCAAAGGAAGGGGCCCAAAGAGGGCCCCAAAGAGGCCCTTTCTAAGTATTGCCCCTAATTTCGCGACCAACCCCGGCAATATGCACATCATTGGAAAGAGCGTAATTTCCCAAACAAAAAACCCAAGTAACATTTTTCGATTGGGCCCACCTGGGGCCCACGGGACCCAATTGAAATTTGGGGCCCAATGGGGCGGCCCCTACGATTTTCTTCAAATTTCGCACAGACACTCTCCTGGGTCCCCTCTTCAATCTGGCTGAAGAAACCTACCGGGGAATCCAAAGGAAGGGGCCCAAAGAGGGCCCCAACGAGGCCCTTTCTAAGTATTGCCCCTAATTTCGCGACAAACCCCGGCAATATGCACATCATTGGAAAGAGCGTAAATTCCCAAACAAAAAACTCAAGTAACATTTTTCGATGGGGCCCACCTGGGGCCCACAGAACCCAATTGAAATTTGGGGCCCAATGGGGCGGCCCCTACGATTTTCTTCAAAATTTGCACAGACACTCTCCTGGGCCCCCTCTTCAATCTGGCTGAAGAAACCTACCGGGGAATCCAAAGGAAGGGCCCAAAGACTAAAGAGGGCCCCAAAAAGGCCCTTCCTAAGTATTGCCCTAATTTCGCGACCAACCCCGGCAATATGCACATCATTGGAAAGAGCGTAATTTCCCAAACAAAAAACCCAAGTAACATTTTTCGATGGGGCCCAACTGGGGCCCACAGGACCCAATTGAAATTTGGGGCCCAATGGGGCTGCCCCTACGATTTTCTTCAAAATTTGCACAGACACTCTCCTGGGCCCCCTCTTCAATCTGGCTGAAGAAACCTACCTGGGAATCCAAAGGAAGGGGCCCAAAGAGGGCCCCAAAGAGGCCCTTTCTAAGTATTGCCCCTAATTTCGCGACCAACCCCGGCAATATGCACATAATTGGAAAGAGCGTAATTTCCCAAACAAAAAACCCAAGTAACATTTTTCGATGGGGCCCACCTGGGGCCCACAGGACCCAATTGAAATTTGGGGCCCAATGGGGCGGCCCCTACGATTTTCTTCAAAATTTGCACAGACACTCTCCTGGGTCCCCTCTTCAATCTGGCTGAAGAAACCTACCGGGGAATCCAAAGGAAGGGGCCCAAAGAGGGCCCCAAAGAGGCCCTTTCTAAGTATTGCCCCTAATTTCGCGACCAACCCCGGCAATATGCACATCATTGGAAAGAGCGTAATTTCCCAAACAAAAAACCCAAGTAACATTTTTCGATGGGGCCCACCTGGGGCCCACGGGACCCAATTGAAATTTGGGGCCCAATGGGGCGGCCCCTACGATTTTCTTCAAATTTTGCACAGACACTCTCCTGGGTCCCCTCTTCAATCTGGCTGAAGAAACCTACCGGGGAATCCAAAGGAAGGGGCCCAAAAAGGGCCCCAAAGAGGCCCTTTCTAAGTATTGCCCCTAATTTCGCGACAAACCCCGGCAATATGCACATCATTGGAAAGAGCGTAAATTCCCAAACAAAAAACCCAAGTAACGTTTTTCGATGGGGCCCACCTGGGGCCCACAGGACCCAATTGAAATTTATGGCCCAATGGGGCGGCCCCTACGATTTTCTTCAAAATTTGCACAGACACTCTCCTGGGCCCCCTCTTCAATCTGGCTGAAGAAACCTACCGGGGAATCCAAAGGAAGGGGCCCAATGAGGGCCCCAAAGAGGCCCTTTCTAAGTATTGCCCCTAATTTCGCGACCAACCCCCGGCAATATGCACATCATTGGAAAGAACGTAATTTCCCAAACAAAAAACCCAAGTAACATTTTTCGATGGGGCCCACCTGGGGCCCACGGGACCCAATTGAAATTTGGGGCCCAATGGTGCGGCCCCTACGATTTTCTTCAAAATTTGCACAGACACTCTCCTGGGCCCCCTCTTCAATCTGGCTGAAGAAACCTACCGGGGAATCCAAAGGAAGGGGCCCAAAGAGGGCCCCAAAGAGACCCTTTCTAAGTATTGGGCCCCAAATTTCAATTGGGTCCCGTGGGCCCCAGGTGGGCCCCATCGAAAAATGTTACTTGTTTTTTTTTTTTTGGGAAATTACGCTCTTTCCAATGATGTGCATATTGCCGGGGTTGGTCGCGAAATTAGGGGCAATACTTAGAAAGGGCCTCTTTGGGGCCCTCTTTGGGCCCCTTCCTTTGGATTCCCCGGTAGGTTTCTTCAGCCAGATTGAAGAGGGGGCCCAGGAGAGTGTCTGTGCAAATTTTGAAGAAAATCGTAGGGGCCGCCCCATTGGGCCCAAAATTTCAATTGGGTCCTGTGGGCCCCAGGTGGGCCCCATCGAAAAATGTTACTTGGGTTTTTTGTTTGGGAAATTACGCTCTTTCCAATGATGTGCATATTGCCGGGGTTGGTCGCGAAATTAGGGGCAATACTTAGAAAGGGCCTCTTTGGGGCCCTCTTTGGGCCCCTTCCTTTGGATTCCCCGGTAGGTTTCTTCAGCCAGATTGAAGAGGGGGCCCAGGAGAGTGTCTGTGCAAATTTTGAAGAAAATCGTAGGGGCCGCCCCATTGGGCCCCAAATTTCAATTGGGTCCCGTGGGCCCCAGGTGGGCCCCATCGAAAAATGTTACTTGGGTTTTTTGTTTGGGAAATTACGCTCTTTCCAATGATGTGCATATTGCCGGGATTGGTCGCGAAATTAGGGGCAATACTTAGAAAGGGCCTCTTTGGGGCCCTCTTTGGGCCCCTTCCTTTGGATTCCCCGGTAGGTTTCTTCAGCCAGATTGAAGAGGGGGCCCAGGAGAGTGTCTGTGCAAATTTTGAAGAAAATCGTAGGGGCCGCCCCATTGGGCCCGAAATTTCAATTGGGTCCTGTGGGCCCCAGGTGGGCCCCATCGAAAAATGTTACTTGGGTTTTTTGTTTGGGAAATTACGCTCTTTCCAATGATGTGCATATTGCGGGGGTTGGTCGCGAAATTAGGGGCAATACTTAGAAAGGGCCTCTTTGGGGCCCTCTTTGGGCCCCTTCCTTTGGATTCCCCGGTAGGTTTCTTCAGCCAGATTGAAGAGGGGGCCCAGGAGAGTGTCTGTGCAAATTTCGAAGAAAATCGTAAGGGCCGCCCCATTGGGCCCCAAATTTCAATTGGGTCCTGTGGGCCCCAGGTGGGCCCCATCGAAAAATGTTACTTGGGTTTTTTGTTTGGGAAATTACGCTCTTTCCAATGATGTGCATTTTGCCGGGGTTGGTCGCGAAATTAGGGGCAATACTTAGAAAGGGCCTCTTTGGGGCCCTCTTTGGGCCCCTTCCTTTGGATTCCCAGGTAGGTTTCTTCAGCCAGATTGAAGAGGGGGCCCAGGAGAGTGTCTGTGCAAATTTTGAAGAAAATCGTAGGGGCCGCCCCATTGGGCCCCAAATTTCAATTGGGTCCTGTGGGCCCCAGGTGGGCCCCATCGAAAAATGTTACTTGGGTTTTTTGTTTGGGAAGTTACGCTCTTTCCAATGATGTGCATATTGCTGGATTTTGTCGATGAATTATAGGCCTGAAATTGTTGAAAACGTTTATTTATGCCCCGAGGACATACTCCCGGGCCCATATATTTGAAGCTGTTTTGTTCGGTTCAGGGGGGTGCTAGCCCCCTAAATTTGGTACCGTTGTACGTAAAATTTTGTCCTCTTTCGAATGACGTGCATTTTTAGCTGTTTTGACGGCTAGAAGTAGGTTTTTCAAAGTTCGTCGATTGTGCCCTGAGGGCATACTGTTTTTTGGGATTTGTGGCCCCCCTGATGGATTCCCCGCATTTTGGCACTAGGATTTTCGATAGAGGACACCATTCTGCACCTCTCCACCAAAATTCAGCGAAATCGTAGGGGCCGTCGATCCCTGCTGAATCCCTGCTGAACCCCTGCTGAATCCCTGCTAACTTCCGTTACATTTCTTAGGTCTATTTATGTCTTTCCTGAAAGGAGGAAGTTACTCTATATTTTATTGTCAGAAGAAGCAGATGTTTGATGCCATTTGACCAAAGGGCAACCCCATGAATCCTTTTTAACATTCTCTGAAAATTTTCCATGTTGTCAGTGTCATGGTCATTTCCTCTTTTTGCACCATCTAAAAACTGAACAACTTGGCAAAATAACAACATGAAAGGAAAGGACACATCCTTCTAAGCTTAAAAAGTGAGATCACATATTAATACTTTGATGCTTTTAACACAAAAACATAATAAATTACAATCAACCACCCATTGATTCAGGTTAAGGTGAGGGTATGCTAGGTAAGGTTTGGTCTGGCTAGATTATGTTTGTACTCATCATTTCTGCTTGTAGTGTACCTGCTTCTCAGTGTCTCAAAAATTGCCAATTTGGTTGAGAAATGTCATCCAAATGAAACTTATTTACCACTCTTACCTTCAATTTTCCAGAACATTTTTTCATTCCCAATTTTACCCATAAAAAACAGTTGCATGTGTACTTTCTGGCTTGCTTTTAACAACTTTCATATTTCCTTCAATTACCAATCTTATAAACCAGTTCCCCCCATCCTAGAGCACTCGCATTTATATTGATAATCCCTGTTTTCCACTCTTCTGCATGCCATTTTGACTCACAATTTTTGACTCTCAGCCCTCTTTGCAGTGAGGAATATTCCCCTCTGTCACCCAAGCCAAAATATTATTTTGGGACACTGCTGCTTCTTAAGGAGTAAATGATCATTTGAACATTTTCCAGTTTGATATATGGTTTTTGACAATATGGTGTGGTTTTTTATCATTTTTGAGCCTGGGGTACAAAAGGAGGATTTCACCAAATGTTTGCTTTTTCTGTAGTCTGGACTGGACAATTGCAATTTATAATCAGAATTAGATTATTTCCATGAGCACATCACATCTGTTTTGCACCCTTCAGCCTATATTTGTATGCAATCTTGCAGTGCTTTTCAATGTCAAGTTGCCATCTTTGATTGATCTGTGTAGCTAAACACTTACTGAAATCAAAGGATCCTCATAAAAATGAAGTTTCTGTGCCAATGTCAGGTGCACTGTATCAGGCATGCCCTATTGTTGTCAGGGTCAGGTGTACTGTATCATGCATGCCCTATTGTTGTGATATCAGAGCCAAACTGCAAAAGGATTGTGATGTCTTGCAGTGGCACACCTCTTGCAGTGATGTCTATGCAATAAATAGTGTGGATGTTGGCCCACAGACTAGTGGCTGTGCCAGTTGTGTATGCCAATGAGGATGACATGGATCTGCATTGCCTGTGATGCACTTATCCTTTCCCTTAGGGAACTCATAGCTAGCAAACAGAATATGCCAGAATGATCATTTTTAGTGTATCCTGGAGGATCAAATCTGATGGGCAAGCAGTTAGGTGATCAGGATGTTTTATTGAAACTGGTCACAGCACCACACAAAGTTATAATTTTGTTAATGAGATCTGAGGATAAAAGCTTCAGGAACTGCATGGAACGAAAAAGGAACCATGTTTGCAAAACTAGACTTAACACTCTACATTTTAGTGTAACCAGGGATGCGGAGCCGTGAAAATTTCAGACGTCTCCGGCTTCGGAGAAAAAAATCGGCTCTGGCTCCGGGTGAAATGTCATGGCGGCTCCGGCTCCGGCTCCGAGTAAAATGGTCCGGCTTCGGCGGCTCCGGCTCCGACTCTGTACATCCCCATGCGTAGGCCGGATGCGGAGCCGTGGAAATTTCAGACAGCTCCGGCTCCGGTTCCGGCTTCAGAGAAAAAAAAATCGGCTCCGGCTCCGGGTCTGTCTCCGGGTGAAATGTCATGGCGGCTCCGGCTCCGGGCAAAATGTGCCGGCTCCGGCGGCTCCTGCTCCGGCTCCGGCTCCGGCTCCGGCTCCGGCTCGGCATCCCTGAGTGTAACCATACTGAACCAGCACTTTATTGGCTGAGCATTGCATGTCTTTCATGACTAATGTGATAATGTCTCTTCATCTTGTACTCTACATACTCTGTCTCTTGGACTGTAATTTTTCAACCCAAAAGTCCTTGTTATTAACTTTTACCTGTGTTCACTCTATCATGTCCTGCCCTGGGCGGTGTTTCACTGGACGCTGCTACCACGCTGCTATCAAATTGCGCGAGCTGACGTCACACTTGCGGTAGTGTTGGAGCAATGGGCCTGTTGATGTTTCCATGGAAACCCAATTTGACACGTGTAAAAGCAGCGTGCTGCTATCACCGGTGAAACAGGGCCCTGGTGGCCCATTGGCAGGTGCTTCATGGGACCAATTCACGGAGTGCTAGGCAATAGGCATTGAATGCATTTCCAGGGCAGGCTTTCTGTTACGGTTCCATAGTTGAACTAGTCATAGGAAATCTTCACCAAATTTGGCGGTAAAACTATCTTGGACAGAATCGGAGTTGCAAGCCCTGTAATCACAATTATGGTTAAGACAAGCGATTGACTGACCATTGTTGATTTTGTTGCAGCGTGGTCCGGTTGATTCAGCAATACCTGAAGGAGAACAATCTTATGAGAACATTGCAAACTCTACAGGTATGCTTTTGTATCAAATAACATTCTTTTTGCATACCACTATCTTATGATATTTCTTGATGTTTCATGTTTTGTTTCACATGTTTGATTTGCTAATTTGACTTATTTTACCTTGTGCAAGCTTGTTTGCCGACTTTGTTTGTGCTTTTCCAACAGGAAGAGACCACTACCTCGCTCAACACCGTCGACTCGGTGGACAGTTTTGTCGCCGACATCAACAATGGCCACTGGGACACTGTGCTCAAAGCGATTCAGTCGCTCAAACTGCCAGACAAGAAACTCATCGATCTATACGAACAGGTTTGCTGCCACTTGCTATTGTGAACGCCTTGCCGATGTTTAAGCTCAGTTTATGATTTTCTTGTCAGCATCACAGTCTGATTGCCAGCTTCCGGTTCTGACTGTTCTACTCCCCTCCTGCCTCAGGTAGTGTTGGAGCTGATTGAGCTGCGCGAGCTGGGCGCCGCCCGCTCCCTGCTGCGGAACACCGACCCCATGATCATGCTGAAGCAGCAGGAGGCTGACCGATACGTCCACCTCGGTAGGTGACCGCGGTTAGCTCCTGTGGCGTGCTACTGCAACTGAAGGCATGCTAACTTCTTTCGCCAACATCTCATGCTAACTTCATTCGTCAATATCTCAATGATATTTGTTAGTGTTGATTTTTTCCAGCGTGTTTCATGTTGTATGTTGAACAAAAGAATGATATTTTTATTTGGCCATGATAGCCCATAGGATATCGTGACCTATTCCAAAGAGCTTTAGGTACTGATCATGAGCAGAATTTCCACCAACAAATGGCTTTCAATTTCATCACGCCTCTGTTATGCCGATCCCGTGCGTTAAGTGCTGTAGCGCGATACGAGTGCCACCTGTGTCCCTCCTGTCCTGTGCTGACACCTGGGCCCTGTTTCACCGGTGATAGCAGCACGCTGCTATTACACGTGTCAAATTGGGTTTCCATGGAGACGTCAACAAGCCTGTTCCTCCAACACTACCAGAAGTGTGACGTCAGCTCGCGAAATGGAATAGAAGCGTGCTGCTATCACCGGTGAAACAGGGCCCTGGTAACCTTGTGCACCACCTGTCACCCATCCGTGATCTGGTCCCACACAACTCTTCCTCTGACACCCGGAGGCCGTGTGCGCCACCTGCCTCCCACCCCTGGCCTGCACTCCCAGAGAACTCCTAGACTCGCAGGGCTTGGAGTATACACAGTCAGTCACCTACCGTCTTACCCTGAAATCTAGCGACAGTTGAGTAGTGACCGTTTGCGCCACCTACCGCCTTGCTCTGAAATCTGTACACGCCTGTTCACACTCCACAGAGAACCTGCTGGCTCGGTCCTACTTCGACCCGCGCGAGGCGTACCCGGACGGCTCGAGCAAGGAGCGCCGGCGGGCGGCGATTGCGCAGGCGCTGGCCGGCGAGGTGTCGGTGGTACCGCCCAGTCGTCTACTGGCGCTGCTCGGACAGGCGCTCAAGTGGCAGCAGCATCAGGGTCTCCTGCCTCCAGGTAGGCGAGTCGGCCCGGCCTGTGTTTGTGTGCTGTGTCATATGGCAGGAGAGCAGATCGCTGGCTCACGCTCAATGTTGGCAGTTTTTGATAGTCGTCAGTCAGCACCTAGTGAAAATGCCGATTTATTGCTTTTGTTATGGTGTAATCTCGGTCACAAACGCTTTTCGCAAACGTGTAAGTAGATGTCTCATTCACCTCGTCTGTTTTGCTCCCAGGTACCCAGATCGATTTGTTCCGTGGTAAGGCAGCCATCAGGGAACAGGAAGACGAAACCTACCCCACACAGCTCTCCAAACAGATCAAGTTCCGAAAGAACCACCCAGAATGTGCTGGTGCGTATTGCGTAACTTGACCGACGGTTTTGGCCTACTAGCAATGTTTTTGTTCTTGTTTCTTTTTTGTTTTTGCTTGTGTCATGCTATCTTATTGTTCTACCTGTGTGTGTTTGGGGATGTCTTCTTTGCATAAATTTCGCCTTGGGGGTATCGTATGTATGATGGAAACACTGCTGCACTTTCGTGCATCCCTTAGGTGGTGCTTAATTCTGGGGCCCTATATTTTTATTATCTCATCCATGGGTGAGCTGACTCTGTGTCTGTTTCGTGCAGCGTTTTCGCCGGACGGCCAGTACCTGGTGACCGGCACAGTAGACGGCTTCATCGAGGTCTGGAACTTCACCACGGGAAAGATCAGGAAGGATCTCAAGTACCAGGCCCAGGTGAGTCGACGGGTGGACTGCCTGCGCGCCTTTGTCGTGTACAATGTGTCTGAAACGTAGCATCATCATGACTGATGAGCAGAAATGATGTGCGAGACTTTTGTGAGGCGCACAGTAATTGTTCTTTTTTTGATCGTCGGTTTCTGACAGTTCAAAACATTGATCCGCTAGTGTTTTCTGTGTCTAGCTATGCCAGGTTCTTCCGAGATCTGTTTCCTGTCTCGATCCGCTCACTGAAGCAGTGTAATTATTTTCCCGTGGCACCGACCCCACCCGCCTCTGCCCGTATCGACAGGACAACTTTATGCTGATGGAGGAGGCGTGTCTGTCGCTGGCGTTCAGCCGCGACTCGGAGATGCTCGCCTCGGGCAGCCAGGAGGGACGCATCAAGGTGTGGAAGGTGACCACCGGCCAGTGTCTGCGCAAGTTCGAGCGCGCCCACACCAAGGGCGTGACCAGCATGCAGTTCTCGCGGGACAACAGTCAGCTGCTGAGCACGTCCTTCGATAACACCATTCGGTCAGTGGCGGGGTGCTTTGGGAGCGGGAGGGTGTCGGTCAGGGAGGTCGCCGACTGCTTGATTGGTATTGAACGTTTCGAGGTAACTTAATACGCAAGCATTTTTGCGTTAATGTTTATGAATGGATGAATGAATGAATCATTCAGATTCAATGAATGAATGAATTAATTAATTAATTAATTAATTAATTAATTAATTAATTGATGGATGAATGAATAAACGAATGAATGAAAGTGCTCTGAGCGTACAAGACCTTTCATTGCTGCTGCCTTTGGTGCATTTCGTGCTAGCGTATGTTTAGGCTCGTGACAAGGACTGCAAGCATAAGCGTTGACTCATGAACCACACGCGTGCATTTGTTGCCGACACCTCACGACCACATTGTTTGTTTTCGTCGGCAGTATTCACGGTCTGAAGTCTGGTAAGACGCTGAAGGAGTTCCGGGGACACACCTCGTTCGTCAACAGCGCCACCTTCAGCGTCGACGGCCACAGCATCATCAGGTGAGGACGTCACTCAGTACTCACTGCATGTCGGCACTGTCAGTTTGTGAGGCCGGACGCTTCAACATTAAAACGAATTAGCCGTGTAGGCTTATTTCTCGTCAACGCTAAGCTCTCTAGGGCAACTTTGTGCGATATAGTGTGTCATGTAAGTTTCTTTTGCCCTCCGGCAGTGCCTCTTCGGACGGCACGGTGAAAATCTGGAACGTAAAGACCACCGAGTGCATCAACACGCTGAAGCCCTTGGGTGGCGTCAGTGGCGAGGAGTGCCACGTCAACAATGTCTCACTCCTGCCCAAGAACCCGGAGCACTTTGTCGTCTGCAACCGCTCCAGCACCATCGTTATCATGAACATGACTGGACAGGTGGGTTATCCCGACGCTGCTGGTTGGAAGGCGAGTCCCTTCATTAGGCGCTGACTGGAGCCAGAAACTCGGCCTAGTTGTCTTTTTTTACGGTACGGTGGAGCTTACTGGAGTTTTTGGTCGGTTTACTTGTTGAAGTTACCAAGTGCAATAGTCACTTAGTAGGAAAGATGTTTGTGCTACTGAAATCATACCTGCCTTACCCGCGCTGGTTATTCGTGCCTGTGACGTCGTGTCCTTAGCAACAAAACGGTGAAACTAGAGCACGCCTTTTTCCAACTCAACACTGGCCACTCCCTATTAGCGGTACCGAATCTATGAATAGTGCTCTAAAACGGTAGGAAAAGGTAGGGAAAGTAAGGCTGCATACTCGTATAAATATGCGATGAATAATGACGTCTTTGCCTTTACCATAAATATCGATGTTCGTGCACTGCGTCATTTGGAAATCCTGCACGAGTTGCCAACTCGAACTATGGAGGTATTTGCCGCCCCGAGTCCCCAATACAGAGTCCCGAGGTAAGCAGGTAGTTATACCGTATAGGCGGATTTTGCGCTGTCAACAGCCAATTGGGGCTGAGTTTTCAACACGTGACCGACATGCTCGCGCCCATGGCCGGTGCGTGACATCCGGCACGTGCTCACGTGCCTTCGACGTGACACCCCACTATGTACCGACGCACGGTATGTGACCGATAGAAATGTCAGTTGATGCCGGCGTGCTGTCTTTATACAGTTTCTTGTCAGTGGTGTCTGCCTTTGGTTATCTGACTTGTAACGTTAATATCCTAATAGGTGCCGGAAATTCGTGACGGGTTCCGGTTTGGTACAAACTCTGTGTGTAATAGAGCACATTAATAGTTAAAATGTCCATTCCTTGTTTGGGGATTACCGGCGGGCTTCTGGCTTTTACGGTTGCTGCCCTTCACGGTTGCTTGGCTCAGAGATGTTGCTTAGCTAGCCAACTCAACAGCGACTAATTTGGAGTTTTTTTTTGCACTTTAATGGGATCACTCAGCTACGCGTCAGTAGAATGATTTCCACTGTTTTTTTTTTAACGATCTTACAAAAAATATCGCTGTTTTGTTTATCAATTGAAGATATCGGCTTACTGTTCCCCTGCCCCTTTCAGACGGTGCGCTCATTCAGTACCGGTAAGCGGGAGGGCGGCGACCTGGTGTGTTCGGTGGTATCCCCGCGCGGCGACTGGATCTACGCAGTCGGAGAGGATCTCGTGCTCTATTGTCTGTCCACTACCTCCGGCAAGCTGGAGCGAACATTGAACGTGAGTATAGATCTATCCTGTCATACCAAAAAAGGTTGTGTCGACTGTCGATCTCGAATAATTTAGCAGGTTATCGGGTAATTGGACAGCAGTCCGTGAAACTCCGAAATGCTCCCAGCCCAATGACCGAAGTCAGTTTCTTTAACCCATCTGAACTTTCGTGTTCCCTTTTCCTCGACGGGCAGGTTCATGAGAAGGACGTCATCAACGTGACACACCACCCGCACCAGAACCTGATCTGCACGTTCAGCGAGGACGGCCTGCTGCGGCTCTGGAAGCCGTGAGACCGTCGGTCTCGACCTTTTCGCCGTTCCGTGCTTCATCATTTTCATGTATCCGGCGGCGCAGTCTGGCCGCTCGTGTGTGTCTGCTGGGTGGCCGCGTCCACTGCCGTCGCAGTGAATGGATGGTGGTCAATACATCGTCGCTTCATTGTAGCTTTCATTCTGATATTAGATGATTGAGCTTTATTCGCGAGGGTTTACGGGCGCGTTGACCACCGTAGTCGACGCGCCCATAAACCCTAATGAACGAACAAAATTCTGCGAAGAACCTGGAAATAGGAAACAGAAATTGAATTGTAGATTGAACCACATTTGACTTGCCCATGGTGCTCAAAAGCAGTTGACAAACAATACGATGTAGAAAGTGGAAACTTGCTGCGTCAGCTTGCAGTATTCAGCATCTGAATGACTAAGGAAGCACCGACGGGTTGCTGAAGATGCGCGTTCGACGTTGGCGTTGATTTAATATTTGTGAACGGAAAAGCTGAATAGCTATATGCTCTATAGTCTATAAGTTCTATATACTCTGCTGGATAGATGCATCAATTTTCAGCAGTCAGATTTTCGCTATAAACGAGCCTTTCAATAGAGCGGCATCACACTCCCCGCTTTCCATTCCCGCGACGCCTTACGAGCGGTTATTGACCGGATATCAGGGGCGTCGCCGACGGGGGGGTCGGGGGGGTCGTGACCCCCCCACTCTTGAAAACTGGGGGTGTCGTCCCCCCCCCACTTTTTGCGATGCTGAGTATGCTTTTTTAGCTTTTATGTCAGTGAAGCAGGCGTCAGCAACACCAACAAATACATCAGACTCAGAATCGCTTCAAGAGCTCCCTAAAGCCAATTAGCCAATTACCTAAAGTTCAATTAGCTGTGCAGGGCGGGGAACACCAGCACAACAATATTTTTAAGTAGCCACCATTCTATAGTACCTTTTTATCCCTCAAAAGATTGGACGCGCTAAAACTGCCCCGAGCGTTCGTCTGATCGTTTAAAAAAAAATGGTCGCAGTCGATTCGTCGGATCAGTACCTAACTACAAAACTACAGCCCCATGGTACATACTAGCCTCAGCCCCATGGTTACCGTCACAACTAGCTGTGCAGTGCACATGTAGGGGAAAGGGAGTCAGATGGAACCGTCTCGGGCTTTCGCAAAGAAGTCGCGCAAAAAGGAGCCGATTGCAACGAAACTTCCGGTGCGCTCGAGTTAATCACCTACTTAAAAATAAATTGATATCCCTGATTCAAATAAAGATGACCTTGGTTCACCTTTTCATAACATGCTTTTAATTTAGGTATAGGAAAGTTTTTGGAGCTGATTTTGAACTTAGCGCCCATCTGAACATTTAAGAAGTAGTTGTGTTGCTTATACATATGTATAACATGTTAGGAAGCAATCGGTGGTGGTCATCCACTATTAGGTACTGGTCGATCTGACCTGACCTGATCTACCCCAAATGCATGGAGTCATCATCTTCGTTCAAAACTAAGATGACATTCGTAAGCAGAACCTCGAAAAACCATCACAACTGACATTCGCAAAGTTCTAGCAGGTCCCGAGTTTCCCTACTTATTGGCGATGACCTGATTCCTGAGATGATCCGAAACCTTGTAAATGGGTATCATCGGCTTTCTCTCGTCACGGGCAGCATGCTCTTTTTTCCGCAAACCTCTAGATCGATCAGGGATCGAAAGCATACCTCAGCGGTACTTTAGTATACGTTATACGTTAGCGACTGGGAACCCACCAATAGAAGGGCTACAGTGAAGCAGAAAACATATTCGATAGCTCTTTCAACGCTCTTTCGCTAGCTTCGCATCAGATTTCATCTCAGGTCTATGTTTTGCCCATAGAAGGCAAACAGCTAACTGGACAGATTCTGCCGAAACATTTGCTTTGCAATAACTTTACATTCCGTGAATTTGTATGGTAGTTACATATTGTTAAGTGTTGACGTTGTCTTGTCACCACCGTGTTTATCTCTTTGAGACGCGTCACATGAGTTAAAATTTGACCATTCAGATTTAACGTTAAAACGACCTCAGATCAACGTTATGTCCTGATCGAAAAAGGACCTCCTGCTGCATATGAATGGATCCGTATTGTTGAGCTGAACATTGAACCAATGAACACCTTCCAGGTGCTGTCATCGCTCTACCGCGTCTTCGTCAAAAGTTGTAGAAAAAATGCTGGTGGTCATCGATGGACATTTCCACTAATGACCTTTCGAGTCATCACTCGCCATAAGTTGCACCCTGTCCCTGGCAATGATGAGCTGATTTGTCATGGCTCCAAAGATATTTTACGTTTCTGACGAACTTTTTCAAAGCAGGAGGCATTCGTGCTTTTTCTAATTTCTCATTATTTTCTAATGATGAGGTCACGTATTTGACCTGCCTCCAGATCATAGATGTAAATCCTCAGAATAATGAATTGCTGACACGTATAACCCCATACATTAGGTATACAGTGTACCAAATTTCGAAGTTATGGGAGAAAAGCTACAAGAATGGCGAGAGGGAAAGTTTGATAGAGGTATGCCGTATAACTGAACTTGACATGTCGACCTGACCTTAAGTGACCAGTGATAATTTTTACGCAAGTGATGTAGGTAGGTATACCTACCTAATAGGTTATACCAAATTTCGCGGCGCTGCGCGCCGATTTGTTACACAGTACACACGCACACACACACATACGCACGCACAAAACTGGGAAGTGTGGAAAAAAAACACCCCTACCCATCGGGTGAAGAGTCGAAGACTAGAAACCCGACCCCCCCACTCAAAAATCTGTGGCGACGCCCCTGCCGGATATGAACGGTCAATTTTAGCCTAGGTGCTCGAAATAAGCTAAATGAGATTGGACTTGTTGAGCAGGTCTCGACATGGAAATTAAAAAGTTCCGTTCGGATGCCAATTGCCAACCTAACCATACGAGATCGCCTCACGGCTGCATAACATGATATCTAGACGTCAATATTTTGATGACGTCATTTGAACGTACGATTGTGACCGCTCAAAACATCCTTGAAGAAAGGTACAGAGGAAATACAATGCTGGCGCCAAGGCCCTATATACCAGGTAGGGTCGTCCGGCGATTCTACCTTTTCGTGACGTCAGCTCGTGACGTCATTTGGAGTCAAGTCTCGAAGCCCCGTTCAATCCCCATGTAAATGAGCGATTTTCGAAGCACTGTAGAATGAAGTTTGCACAAGATATATCAAACTTAAGTATCTTATCTGAAAGAGCAGACAATTTTCTGCAAGTTATCTATTACGTGTTTTTCGCTAAATCTTTTGCTTTTTTCACAAAAGCGTAAAATGTCCCCCCATGTCTCCGCAGCCTCCCTGCCGCCGGCCGCCGCGCGGTCGCGGTAGTGTAGTGGTTAGCGTGCCCGCGCAGTATTCTAAAGGTCCCGAGTTCGAATCTATGCGGTGCGGAACTTTAATTGCAATTCCAAGCTGAATATACGCACATCCATAATAAATTATTATTCGTATAGCTAAACTGTCACCAAGCTATCCATATAAATTGACTTCACCCAAAATATCGGCAAGATTCTATTAAAATATAAATTCAAATATGGCGGCTTGGACTGCCGCGTGCGTTAGGCTCCGCCCATAGCTCCGCCCACATGCGTGACGTCATTCGTGTTAGTGGACACACGCGGAGATAGGGGACGACATGGGCCTGGCTGGCGCATATTTTTTTACTTTGCCCAAGGCCATCTATAGAACTTTGCCTTCGGATTCGAATAAATGAATAGAAAATAATTTACAAATTTGAGAAAAGTCAAGTAGCATTACAGCTCGCACGTTTGAAATAAAATGGTGAGTTTCTGGCACAGCCCAACACCTATCGTTTGGGTTTTGCTACAAAATGTGGGTAGTACAAAATGTGTGCAGATTATACCTACCGATTCTATAATTATTTTAAACTCATTTTTAACTACCTTCCTATTCGATGTCGATATATGTTTATTTCGAGCCAACCGCCAAGTGTATGACAGCTGCCTGGACTCACATTATTTTGATTGTGTTGTGTTACATGAATTTTGTGCTATGTTTTGTGCAATGAAGTTTCCGAGATCACGGATCAGTGCCTAGGTACACTCGGGGGCTGATTGATGTTCCACCGGGAGCCCGATGGGTAGGGAGTGGTGGCACCATTCCCTACCCATCGGGCTCCCATGGCTCCCGCACTGGCTGCTGCCAGTGTTGCCTGCCCTCAGCCCTGGTCAGCACTGCCTGCCAGTGCCAGCGCTGCCAGTGCTGCCACTGGCTGCAGCCAGCAGGGTATATTGCAGCCAGTGCTGAGCCATGGGAGCCCAATAGGTAGGGAGTGGTGGAACATCAATCTGCCCCCGACATGTACAGCCCACCACTAAAGTAATACCAGTATAGCGCCTTTTGGGGCGACTAACGGAGCGAGCGAGGGGGTGAGTCTTGCACGTGCGAAATTTCGAGGGGGTACCTCCAACTGACTTGTGCACGGCACCCTACTGACCGGTTTCTAGCGATGTGCCAAATTTGAGCACAATCGGCCCAGCCGTTCTCGAGATCTGGGAGCGGCACCCTGCACATGCGCACGTGCTAAATGGGTCCCAACTGACTTGTGCACGGCACCCTACTAACTGGTCCCTAACCGTGTACCAAATTTGAGCGCCATCGGTCCAGCCGTTCTCGAGATCTGGAAACGACCCCTGCACGTGCGCACGTGCAGCAGCACCCCAACTCTGGCACATGGATATGCAGTGCCTAGTGGGTGCCTACCTACATGCCAAGTTTCAGCGCAATCGGCCAAGTAGTTACCGAGATATTGCAACAATTACAAAAGTGACACCTCTTCGTTTTGCACGTGGCACGTGCATAAGGGGTCACCCACATGCATCGGGAATAGTCCAATACTTGGTAGAAGGAATGAAGCTACCCTACAAAAATTACCGCGTGTAAATCGGTCAAGTGGTTGCTGAGATATAAGCCTCGCAAAAGCGTCCGCACGGCCGGCCGGCCGGCCGCTCATACTCAGAAATTTCCGTTATTCTACGTAAGACTCCGCTCGCTTCGCTCGCTCCGTAATGAGGTTTTACCAATCCCAACGGATAGCTTTGACTGGTGATTTTTTTAATGCAGAGTGATTGAAAAGAAGATGTCTGTAGATAAAGTTGCAGCTGCAAGAGTGACGATATATGTAAGCAGCATTCAAAGCTTATATTGTAGTCTGGCTAGTCATTCCTAAGCTTCAGAAGCAGAACATACCCATGACTGAAACCGCACGTTACTTCTGCTGTGGACTGTACCTCTAACTCAGCACACAGCCATGCAAAGGCAAGATTGATTACATTCGGGTGACCCCTGGCCTCGGCCTGATGCAATGGCATCTGACCTGACATAATCATTTTTGCCTTTGTATGACAGTGATCTGTTACTGATTCAGTAGGTAGTAGGTACTATAGGTAACAGAACTCAAACTCTGATCTGAACTCTGAAGTCTGAACTGTTAAGTACTGATTCAGCAATTAGTAGGTACCTAACAGAAAGGAGGATGTACCTTAGGGTGGTCCACATTTACATGGTAAAAAATAAAGTTCGTCAGATTCATCGGGCCGGGTCGGAATTCTTGTCGATACTATAGCACAAGCTTCTGTGCAAAATTTCATTAAGATTGGATGATTTTATCCCGTCCCGCAAAGCGGTCAAAGTTTCCATTATATGTACCAGCCTTCAGTATAGGGCGAATACTTGTCTTTCAACATTGCCCAGTCGCGCCAGCGGCTATCTACCAAAGAGCTTGCATGCTCAACGCACCAACTCTCTCTAGCCTTCTCAATGATAGATCTAGTCTTCCTATCAGCCACAGGCAGGAACGATAATCCACAGTTCCTGTTGCAGTTCCTGTTCTCAGTGCCAGGAGCAAGGCCCTGTATGCCAGGAGGTGCGAATGCATTACGCTAGTTATGAATTTGCCTGCGTCTGGGATGGCCGCTGAAGCTGCAAAAGGCACACGCTCAATCACCGAAATGTGGCTTGTTTTGGCAGCCAGAAGCAAATCCTTGCTGGGTGAAACAGCCTCTTACGAAATGCATGACGAATCTTTTCACTTTTCACACCATCCGCCTTCCGGCCCGGGACTCCCGAGATCCCGTCCTTCAAGCGGTTTGTAAAGTGGTGGCAGCTCACGGACCGAGTGTCGTTCAAACCGCTCAATGACTTCATTGACTTCGCCGACAAGATGATCGTCACCTGACGCGCGTTGCTGATGAAGCAACGGCCCCGTGATGACTACCGCAATGTGGTGTACTTCACCACCGCCGTGATGGACGGTGACTTGGAAGCGAGCATCCTGAAACCGGTTGCCCTACAACGCGCTCGTTGGATGGCAAAGTTGATCAACACGTAAGATCTCTCAAGTCAAGAACACTCTCAAGAACACTCTTCTGTCAGCCTCAGCTTGCGCTCACCGAGCACGAGAAGAGGACAATGGTCCGGTTCACCACCTTCATCGTCACAAGGTAAGTAGCACCGTGGCTGTCTGCCCACTGATCGACCTCAGCATCGTGAACTGACATCGCCCTCCGCAAAGGCTCCTACCGCTTACCACAGAGATATCGGACGGTAACCGGGCAAGGTGATGGGCAAGGCCATCGGTCTCTCCTTCTTCAACGACGGGACGACGGTCGAGGAAAAGAGGCGATCGCCACCTCCATGCAGCAGCGGCTGAGAGAGAAGAACCCTGCCGCGCCAAAGTCGCCCTCGACGCAGTGGGGCAGCGCTCGCTGGCGTCGTTTGCATCTGTCGGTCGGTACATCCCTCGGGGCCAGCCACGATTTCCTCAAAGTCGACTCCGCCGAGTGGTCAGACAATGACGACTTGACCACTGCTCATCGGCGACCGGCACATATACGGGTGGTGAACGACTTTGCGAGAGCTGGGTATTGCACTGTTGCCCTCACCAGTGGGAAATTTTTAGCGCCATCGCGCACGGCAAGGAATAGTGAAAGCACTTCCTTCAGGTCGAGGAGCACCACTGCACCGGGCGTTGCATCCGAGAGGGATATTATTGGTGCTATTGGTCTCAAGATAGGGGCCCAGGCGACCTGTAGTTCGGATGCGGTGAATACCCTCACCCTCGCCACAATTCGAGTGGGGGTTGCGCTGGGTGGGAGGAGGGATGCACTCGGCCCGACCTGTGGGGAGGGTAAGGGTATTCACCGCATTAAAACTACAGGTCGCCTGGGCCCTTATATTGAGACCAATAGTACATGATGGCATGCACGGTGGATTTTGTTCTTTTATCTATACCAGATATGCTATTTTCACGGATGCCCATTCCACTCTGATGTGTTTCTCTCCTTTGCTGTTCTTTTTTAATGACTGCCAGTGCGTATTGAGCGAAAAATGTGGACTGAGTGCGAAAATTCGTATTATCGCTCATCCCGTTATTGATAACATAGGGAAAACTTTGGTCGCTTTGCGGGACGGGATAAATTTATCCGATCGGAATAAAATTTTGCACACAACCTTGTATCATGGTATCGACAAGAATTCCGACCCGGCCCGAAAGATCCTAGAAACTTTTGCAAAATGGACCACCCTAATGTACCTATGATTCAGTGATCAACAGCCAATGACTGAACAATGTGTTTGCTTGCACAGTCTGTACTGTGTTTCATACTTTGCAATGGAACTTCTATGTTTGAGAATTGAATGGAGAATTGATTCAGTTTTGTTTATGGCAATTGAAACCTATATTCATTTGGTGATACCCAAGAGTTAAGACCTTTGCCTATCTTTACCTGTCGAGTTTCCCTGTCTCTCAAAGAAAAGTCATAAAGCCATTGGCCATGATGTTAATTGCCAGGAGAGTGTAATGTAAAAGAAAAAAAGGAACCTGAGAACACAAAACTGGCCTAGTGGCATGGCTACAGAGACTGACAGCCATACCTCAAGAATGAGCCAGCTTAGTTACCTACACTTATTCTTGTAAGAGTAAACTTCAGCCGACAAGCATAGGTCAGCCAACAAGCATAGGTCATCCTCTATCCTCTAACATAGATCCTGTATTCCCTAGCATCAGCTTTGAACTATTGTGCAATTGGCCATTTTGAATGGTTGAACTTTCATTAGAATATCTCCAAAGGGCCACTCAACTGTCTCCACTTCATTTGGCAGAAGTCTGCAGTGTGTTTCGCTGTTCTGTAGCAACTAGCAGGGTGTGAGCTCATACTCATAATGAGCTCTGTTTCTTTCATTTGAATTGATAAGAAAAACAATCATGCCTTTCACCTTTGTCCAGACTGCAAATTACCTATAACAGAAAGGTCCATCACCTTGCCCAGCAGCGAGGAAAAGACACAGACCAGACTGGAAACCTGCTTCAATGTGTAATAAAAGGGGCCCCGATAGTTAAAAAGCTGAGTTCCACAACTGAAAAGGTAGGTACATGATGCTGATAAAGAAGTGATTGCTAACTGGCGATCTCCTCCCGAGTTTCCAATGCATAGCTTCATGGTGTTATAAAAAGAACATCTCTAGTCTGTGCTAGAGCCATAGTACAGTTCAGTACATCACCAATCAACATGGCTGGTTCCACACTGCTTTTGGCCTGCAAACCTGCCTAATTCTTCGGAAATCTGCACGGCACCGCGGAAAATCTTAACTAGCTGATCGGGCCCCCAGCGATGAAATCTCGCCGAAATTGCCATCCGTCTCACTTTATGGCAATTCAAGAAGCTGTAGATGGTTCCTAGTATTAGTTACTGAGTGTTTTGTTTTATATATTGCAGCTGAATGGCCTCAAGGAGTGTGATCCACCCGGGCGAGGAATCTGAATCTTCTGCCGATGAAGCGTACTCGGACAACGAGGTTTTGACATCGGCAGACAGCGACGAAATCGGTGAGCTGGACGGGCTGCTTTGCTGAGCATTTGGCGCACAAAACGCTAGTTAGTGCTGGTAAATGTTGAACCCTAGGAAGGTAATTGTTAAATGCTTAGCCGATAGTGAAAGCCCGGTTCAAGCCCCGGCGCGGGCGGCCACCTTTAGCTCCTACGTGTAATGGCGTGCGTGTCTGTGGCAGGGTCCGCACAGAAGCCAGGTACCGTGAGTGAGCGGAGGGGACCGTATCCAGTCGTGAGGGCACGTTAAACGTTCGGACAAAATTCTGCCATACAACTGGAATTGCGCGATCGGGTGGTGGGGTCAGGGTCAGCACAACAAGCTATGCTTAGTGCGGGCTCTGATTCCTCAAATCTGCCCATTGAACCATTCGGACTAAATTTATTTTAAAAAATGCTGTCGCATATATCATTGATTAATATGTTTATACATACAGTTAACCATGATCGTTTCCCTGCCGTATTTCGTGCTCATCTGTTTTGTTCTCGATTCATAGCGGTCTGCTGTTTTTGTATGCCTTATCTTCTCACCGTCCCCTCCCGCCCGCAGACACGTCCGCGGTTCCAGCTGCCAGCTGCCCGCCGACCAGCCCGCCGGCCACTGTACCGAGAAAGCCGCCGGCGCCCAGATCCGACCGCTTCGCCGACTCGCTGCTCCACCAGAAACTGCGTCAGTAAACACGCGCTGACCCTGCGCTGGCCTCACAGAGCGGGGCTGGGACGGCCGGGGTCTTCACGTTTAGATATAATAGACGCACTGATGATAGAAATATTTCCTCATAAGCATGAATCTCCTTCGTTATCTCATAGGTATTGCCGGCCACCCGGTGACTGCTCAAAAACTGCCTTTTTGACCAAGAGTTGTCTGAGCATGACATGACAAAAGCTTCGTGAGTCTAGAATTTATACATTAGCTACCTAATTGCTGGTACAATGCTGGTTATTAGGCTAGGTGTTAATGACTTTTCCTACACAAATCAATTGCTATAATTCAATGTTGTACTTAATTTAACAGTACATGATAAATCACATTTTGAAAACAACTTTCCTCTCGCCCTGTTTAGCTATAATGCCTGAATTGGCTGTTTTCCCGATCAGATATCTACTTCCCACGTATTGTTTCTATCATTGTATAATGTATGCCGAATAGTTTCACTTAGTAATGCTCACGGTCTATGATCTGTCTGATTGTAAAATGATTCACCTTTTGTTTCAGGCGAAGCAAACATCAATCTACGCAATTCAATTAAGCATCAGGTCACCGCGCCGTACCAAAAGGCTACCAAGAATGTACAAAACCTGACATATTCCCTGTCAAAGATCCAGGTATGTCGTCCCCATTATAAGTAGCGTTGCATGAATGAGCTCCTCAAGGTTCAAATGGAATTCTTGTTCAGCACAGATGATGCCAGATGGCTGTTACCCTTGGACTCAGCCATTGTTTTGTTGGCTCTTTTTACCACCTTGAAATTGTGATATTTCGTTTTCCTGTTGCTCTTTGATGGTTTCCTCCCTCACAAAACAGTGCGCCTACACCTGCCTTGCTTCATTACTACCACATAGGTCAGATCAATCACATTAAAAATATACGATTTCCATCGTAATGCTCGTCGCTACTCGCTTATTTTTAGCTGCGATCATTGGTAAGATGTGTTTCGATTCTTCTAGCGATATCGAAATGTCGTGACTGTGAGATCTGCTGTGGTGCTTTGACTCTGATTGCCAAGGTAGAACGTTTGATTACGTCACATATATCGACATTTAAGATTCAGTGCATCAATGGATGTCACGTTCGAAATATATCACGTATGGACGTATACGTGATATACGTTCGGAGTTACGTTCGGAGTTGTCGGTGCAATACCTGGGATCGAGGCTTCCCCAAAGTGTGTGCCAGGTGGAGCTGGACGCTGAACTGAGACGTGCGCTCGCCTGCTCCGTTACAGGCCTCAATGTCGGAGGTGTGTCTTCAGCTGCAGCAGATTCGTGACGACCTGAGAGCCACGGAGGAGAAGACGTCTGACATCGTGTCCAGCGACTTCCTCGTGGACGTGAAGATCTAGCCGAAGGGCCCGTCCCCTCCGTGGACCCGCCCCGCCCCAGACAATACTCAGTGCTCGGGGGCCGCTCAGAGCGACTCTCGGTAAACCCCAGTCACTGCCATGGGGCTGATCAATGATGAACTAGCAGAAGTGCGGAAAATGTGTGAGCACGTGGTACCGGGCAGCAAGCTAGTCACGTGCGTGCCCGCCATGGTGCGAATCGAAATTCGGAAAACTGACTTCAAGCAGCTGGCGGCGTGCTTCCAGTTCCCTGCCGACTATCCGCGCAGCGTGATCCTGCTGGAGCTGAAGAGCAAGACGCTGTCGGACAAGCTGCTGGCCGGTCTGGTGAAGCTGTGCGAGGCGGAGGCCAAGAAGCTGATCGGCAAGCCGCAGCTGCTGGCGCTGGCCAAGTTTGTGAGTCGTTTCCTGGACGAGAACCCGCTGAGCTGCTGTTCGGCCGAGCTGTCGCGCGTGCGGCAGCTGCTCGCGGACGGTGACGAGCTGAAGCTCAAACAGAAGGTGTCCACGGTGTCCCTTTCGCTGCGCAGCGGCGAGTACCAGTACCGGGTGCACCTGCTCGTGCCGGGCGACTACCCGCTCCAGAGAGTGACCGTGGAGGAGCGCTGGTCCAACCTGCCGGCCACGCTGTGCCGCTGGCTCACCGGGCAGGCGACCGAGATCGCGCGGCGGTGCGTGGAGCCACCACTGCGGCCGCCGCGCAACGCTCCGCCCTTCCAGCCGCAGCCGTCACTCGAGCCCGTGGTGGCCTTCCTCGTGGGGGACTTCAAACGCTTCCCCACCGACCTCTGCCAGCACTGTAAAAAGGTGAGTCAGTCGGGCACATTTACCAACAGTCGGCACTGGAAATAGCCAACAGTGAAAGGTATTTGCCGGCCGTGTAGAGCTGAAAGAGTGGGTCCCTTTCTTGGTATCGAAAATGGCCGTGATCGATTGGTCTTTGTCAGCCCTGTAGGGCGAGTGTGCACCGTAATTTGTCAGCTGTGAACTTATGACTCACGAATGACGTGGGTGCTGCCCGCTGTGCGCCGTCTTCCGTGCAAATTTGCAATCGGCTTGATGCGACGGGGAAATGAGCCCCAGCGCTGCGCCAGCATTGGCCTCGGCAGCAATGGACGCTGTTACGTCAGCTCCACCTCGTTATGATTCCATAATCCCTGTTTTCAGTTCTTCAAACCCCGCACAAAGGGGAAAGGAAAGTAGTTTTGGTTTTCACCGTGTCTTCATGGCTGTGCTCTGTGGACTGTGGACGTCACAGCCATCCGAGTCACGACGTGTTCCTCTGTTCGTCAGCGGAAACAATGGCAGAGCACGATGCGCCCCTACATGGTTTTGCGTATTTCACATGCCTGGCGATGGCGTAGGTACCAGTTACTCATCATCACTCAGGCATGTCATTTCGTGGTAAAGTAATCTTGATTTCGTGCAAAGTTCGATCACTCGGGATAGCTGACGAAGCTTGGACGCAATGTGGGTGTCCAATTGAATGAGGATAATTTGATGGCTGGCGATGTTATGATGCAACATGGCCTTCACTGGACACCAATGGCGTGCAAAGTGGTCACTGACTAGGCGTTAGGCGCAATACAAACCTCTACTCACGTCGGAGTGTCCGCCCACGAGTCATGAGACACCCTCCTTTTGCGTTCTATGAGTTCTATAAATCGATTGACGCCCCTCAGCTTCAACTAATCGCCAGGTTTTGGATATGATGCTACATCTGATGGTCTCCTCATTGCCAAAACCTGCGCTGGTCAGTGCTGACGGTTTGACATTGAGTGTCGCACTACTGGTGACCGTTTAGCGCTAACGGGAACGGGATTTATTGATCGGAACAGCGCCCTGCGGCCGACTGGACTAACGGCACAGTGTGATCGTATCACTGTGGGACTTGGGAGGTTCGTTAATGGCCAATGCCAGCCTGCCTAATGCTTCAGGAAGCATGGGAGCTGGAGCGAGCAGTGACATTGATATAGAATCCCTCACCGGGTGCGATTGGTGTCTGAACTTCCTGACAATGTGGGGTTAGCTGGCTTAAATATTTCCGCCGTTTGTGAGGTTCCGTGGACCACTAATTTGGAATGTAGTCGGATGTGGATTGAGCTAGTTGAAGGGCGATCGTCATGGGGTGTTCCATGTGGCACAACCGACCATGCTCGCGCAGACCGGATCAAAACCGGTATCGCTGAATGTAATGAACTGGTCATTTTTTAACGCACTCGAAACCGGAAAGCGGCATTCTTGAAATCCGGTTGAAGGACGAGCTCCCCGAAATAAGCTACGGGAGGGGAGCGGTTTTCGGGAGCGGTTTTCGGTGTTTCAGTCCTGCTCAATTTCTGTAAAGACACGCCGCTAGTTACTGACGAACAAAGCCAACTTTGGTGATGGGATTCACGCCAACCGCTTTGTTTAGACTCTTTTGGTGGGTTTTAGCTACCATAACGGGTAATACCGACGTCTTTTGTTAGTGTTGTTGTCGCCAAGTGTGGTTTAGTTGATCGAGCTGGCGCTGACTTCCTTGTCGAAATTCCCAGTGGGCTGGGCTTCCACCGACCGCCCACACGGTTGGCGGTGTCCGTGACGGTGGCTGACGGTGCGACTAGGAGCGTCACCTCCCGTCCAGTATTCTAGCACTGGACGCACTCAGGCTCGCATGCCCGTCGCTCACACTGCCTTGTATGCGTTAAGTGTCGTACGCTCACGCTGCATTCCACGGCGTACACTGAGCCCGTGTCCACACGTCGTGCCCTCGATATTTCCGCCCACGCGCCAAACCAACCCGTCGCCTTTCACTCCGTGCCGTGCGTGTTGACAGCTCTATGTGCTGCCGTGTCCAGCGCAATACAGATCCGACCGCGTTCTACCGCGGTAGCACGGGTTGTTCTGGACGGGCGGAGTTGGTCAAGCATTCCTCACTCCTCGAGATGACTCAGTACAATGGTCTCCTACATAGCTGTGGGGACCTAACAGACCATGCTATCCGATTATACCTCAACAGAAAGGTGCGTGTTATCGGCTGGCCTACGCCCCTTGGAAGAGGATTAGACGAACGCTGCTCACCCATCCCACGTGAGCCGGAGAGGGTCGAGAGAGAGAGAGAGAGAGAGAGAGAGAGAGAGAGGCATGTTCAGCTCATGACACTTCTGCCGGCTGCTGGTGACATCGCACCGTCGAGGACATTGGTCACTCCCGATTAGGAGCCGCTCGGCTGATTTTTGTTGTCCTATGAACAGCCGTTACCACTGCGCACCTCGCTGTAGTGGCATCCAGTCGGGATGCCCCCATTGTTTGGAGTAACTGAACAGCCAGGTGGGAGAGCCTAGGGAACACTGTAGGGGTTCGGTCAGAAAGAGTCCGATATTGATTGGATTTTTTCCCGATGAACCTGCAAACAGATAGCCTTCAAATTCCCACTGTTTCGTTCATTGTTTTCGATGGAACCTATCAATTTTGATTGTCAGCAGACTGGCTTCCTGCTGGTGGTTTTGTGCGGCCTCGGTCGCTCGGTCCGTCGTATTGCGGCCTGTGAGGTTCCCTGTCCGTGACGTGCCACGGCCAGCTGGGGCCGATCGGCGGTGCAGCGTCGCGGGTGCGGCGCTGGCCCTTCCTCGGCCGGTCCGTTGGGGAAAATGTGGCTGCCCCGCTCGCCGGCGCAAGGTCGCGGCGCAGCGCGTCCGTCACTTTCCGTGGCGCCGGGCGCCGCTGAGCCGGCCGGGAGGCCCGCGCTGCGCGGCCATCACATGGGCGCTGAGGGGTCCACAGAAACACTGCACGCCATGGAGGAGGGACGATGGAGCGACAGAAGGGTGGCCCGGCGATGTGGCTACCATGATAGCCAACAGCTTGCCCGTGTGATGGACCCAAGTTGCGCAGTTTCGTCGAGGCTTGTTTAGGTTTTCCTGTTACGGGGACCCACTGCGGGCCGCTCCACCGGCGCCCCTGCGTGAGGAGCTCCTCACGACCGGAGCTGGACTGCTCGCGTGCCACCGACACCGCCATTCCAGCGAGTTCATGCCGCAAACGAGCTTCGCTATCACTGGAAGGCATCGCCCTTTATTAGGTATTCAGTCTCCTACCCTTTAAATTCACAGTCCAAGGCAAACTATGCCATTTTGATATGGTAACTTGCTCAGGAGCTAAACTCAGCATCGACACAGAAAGAGTATAATGTAGCCACTCACCCACAGATATCTGAAGACGTCATCCAACAATCAGCTTGTGCACATTTATCGGCTGGTGCTCCATCAGGGACATGACATAAGCGAAGTGAACATGGACAAATAATGCAACATGGGACGACGAATACTTCACGTACGTATGGTCAAAAACAGTGAAACGATTGGCACAAAATAGTGACTTAGAGCTAGTAGCTAATAAAATAGCCAGATATATGAAGCGACTTGTTAATCGCAGAATACTCTAAGGCTCGTTGCGCTCGTGGCTCTTTTGCTCGACTGAGAAGAGGCAGTGGTGATTGTTTCAGCAGAATGTATTCCGGTAGTTGTGGCACACCTGTACCGGCTCGGTTCCGGGAAAAGTTGACACAGATGGGTTTTCCTTGACGATTAGGGAGGGGTTATTCAACCCTCTTTCGCACCACTGTCAGTTTCGATCGTTGCGTCGGATTCAGACTCCTTTAGCTTTTGAAGCGGACTCTCCCGGCACGAGAGCTCGATCATCTCGCCGCTAGAGCTCGATTATCTCGCCGCCAGAACTCTACTCCCTCGCCGCCAGGACTCGACTTCTAGAGCTTCACTCGCCGCCAGATGTTTGACTCTTGCAATCAGAGCTTGACTCTCTCCACCAGAACTCTACTCTCTCGCCGCCAGAACTCGACTCTCTCGCCGCCAGAGGCCGACTCCATCGCTGTCAGGTGCCGGCTTCTCAGACGGGCGTCTTGCTGCAGGGCTCGCTGTACACGACGCCGGGCTTGTGGCTGAGCTTGCAGTAGAGGCGGACGCCGACGGCAAACCAGTACCAGAGCGGCACCAGCAGGCCCATGGTGATGAGCAGCACCACTAGCGCCAGGCTGTTGCCGTACGCGGCAGCGCCCACGAACGCGCTCAGCAGGCCGAGGCTGTGCAGCGCCGACGAGACGGCATGGTACACCAGCCAGGCGAGCACCAGGCCGCGGTGGCGCGTGCGCGCGCCATGCACCAGCGCGCTGTTGAACACCACGTGCAGCAGGAGGGCGATGAGCACTACGGCCAGCGCCAGGCGGCGCGCCGACTCCAGCTGCCGCTCGGGGTCCTTGTCGGGCAGCGTGGAGAGCACGGTCACCTGGATGAGCGCCACGAGTGTGTGCAGGATCAGCAGCGAGGCGCCGATCACCACCGCGCCGCTGCGCAGGCCGAAACAGCAGCAGCACTGCGACGCCATGCCGACATGGGGCGAGCGCTCGGCTCTGCGCGAGGGCCGACCATGGACCAGCCAGCAGCGCCGCTGCAGACACTGTCCGCGCCGGTCGGCCGCCGCCGCCGCCGCCGCCCGGCCGCCCGTCGGGCCGGTATTTTTGCCAGAGCGCCGGCCAATCGCAGTGGTCGCGGCGAGGTGCCGGTCGGACTCGGGCGGCGCCCGGTACAGGACAGCGGGCGGACGGACGGACGGACGGACGGACGGACGGACGGACAGCGCGGCCGTGCCGGTGTTGTCTTCATGTCGGTGGATGAATCCGGCGGCCTACGGTACTCTGGTCATGGTGCTGTCACTCAGGGTATTGAACGTGACATTTTACATGCCTCCCGTGTCTTGCAGATAACTTTATCTGCTTAAACGCGGAGCCAGATGTCAAAGTCGTGTTTAAATGCATGGATCAGAATCGATTAGAATGACAGCAAGTGAGTGATATGACCGAACTTATTTATTCGTGTTGGCAATGATGCCAGTGTTTCATCCGTTGCAATGTCTGTAGGTGCCCACTTGCGGAGCCGCGTTGTGTGTTATGTAATGGCTTTCAGGTTTCGGCCATTACATACCTGCGTTTGTAGTCCGATTATGGGGATCTCAAGGAAGGATGAGGCCTGCCTGTGCCCTCAATATTCCAAGGCTGGGTTGGATTAGCTCCGTCCCTTACCGTGCATTGAAGGGCTCTGGCTCCAGAGCTTCCTCGCGGCCATCCGCACCAGAGGACATTACATTTCCTGTCCGGCTATTTCACCAATTAATTAATCACCTGCAAGGATCCACAAGGTCCGTGAAATGTATGTGTTTTAGGTTCATTGTTCGTATTATTCCAACAGAAGTCTAATTCTATTTTTATCAAAGATCTGTAGTACCGTAAACGGGGGTGACTTTGCCTTGCTGGGTGACTTTGCCATGCTTCTCAAAAAATGCTTTAGGCTGATCTCCAGTGATATTTTACGAAGAATGTAATAATTTTTTATGCACAAATGAAAGATAATTGATGGGCCTTCCAACTTTACCAGCACTGAGAGATAAATTACCACTAAATACCTAACTGGGCTCCGTTTTATTTGAGTTATTGAAATGGTCAAATTTGAAGAGGTCCGAACTTTTTATTATCTAAGCATGTTCTAGACCAACTGCGATGCTGAAACTTGGTATGGTTGATCATGACAAGGCTGTTAAGTTAGCATATCCAACAAAACTGGCATTTGTCACTTCATTTAGCTAACATTGTTGGTGGCGATTCTTCCAAGTGAATTGCAGGCCACATGGGGTGACTTTGCCACCATGTTATCAATGCAAAAATGAATTGCTTATCCGATGCAATTCAAAATATGTTCTAAATGTAGCACCATTCTGACCTTCAAACTGGTTTTTAAAACGTAAAAGTTTATATGTTGAACATTAAAGGGACTATCCCACCTTCTAAAATGTTGTTAAAACCAGTTAAATTGTGCCCGACTTTATAGATTGGATGACCAGGAACACGGTTCTGGCATTTATTTTTCATTAAACATCTTAGGCTTCCCATATTCCAAACACAAACTTTCAAATATGTGACGTCACAGCCCAAAATTACGTCCTTCCCCAGGTCACATTACTGTCATAAAGCTGATTCTTTTTACTCTGTAGGCACCACAACAAAGTTCAGACCAAGTTTTAAGCGATTTTTCAACGAACAAACCCATTTAAATCAGAATAACTAAACGAGGTGACGTCACACTAACGGTCGCTCCATGTTGAAGATAGGGCCTTGTACAAGGCCCATTTTCAAATGAAGGGAACGAATTTCTTCAACACCAAGAGGCCGCGGGGGTTGCAACCTAGATAGATAGTGGTTTCTGAACCTCGCCGCAAACTTGGCTATCTCAACTCAAACCCCATGTTAAAGGTGGGATAGTCCCTTTAACACAGGAATGCAATGCACAGTGGGAGTATAGAAAGGCAAAAATTACCAAAATAAAAAATGGATGAAGTTGGGCCCAACTTTTCAGCACAACCATGATCATCTACAACTCCTGAGTTTGCCAGTAAGACTGGCTGAAGAAATCTGTATCATTTTACAGATCAAAATGCTGATAATAAGGGTGTCGGTATGTTCCCGCAAGAACGTCCTCTTTTTGTTCCTCTTAATGCCGCTGGAAAAAAGCGGCAAGGTCCTAGAGTACCTACCGATACAATAAAATCTGTGTTTGTTTATCTATTCTGAACCATTTTTCAGTTTCTATTTACTATCAAATCTCAATAATTTTCAACAAATATAATGTATTATAAAAAGTAAGGCATCTCTCCTTTTTTGTACATCGTTTAAGAGCAAAAAACCTCAAATTGCTTTATTTTTCCTATTAAACAATTAAGGATGGTTGCCCTTCCTCATACAATGGAACAAAAATGCTTGAAAAGTATTTGTTAGCGTTACAAAATATTATTCAAAGTCACCCCTTTTTCAGTTTAACTTTGCCACGACTCATTTTCCTTAAAAATTTATATTTCTAGGCAAGTTATAAATAAGATAATAGCAAAACCCACAGAGCTAATCTTCATCCGTGTTTTGAACTTAGAGTCATCCCAATAAGTTAACAAGTTAAAAGAATACAAGCGTCTAAAGTTGAAAACATGGCAAAGTCACCCCCGTTTACGGTATCCTACGAGAAAACACGAAGTTTAAAACGAAGCTGATATAACTCCCGCCCTCAGCATCTTTCCGGTGAAGATTACTTACCCTTAGGTACACTTGCGAGCATTGTACAATCATTTCCTGTTGTATTCCAGTGAACAGCTGTGCCTGCAAAGGTGCGGAAGGCGAACACATGCTAATCCCGTATACATGCATGCTTTGGAACTGCCGACAAATTTTAAGCCATACCTGGATGTGAACTCTATTGGCTGAGACGGCTACATTCAATTTTCCTTATGAAGTCAGGAAAACAGGTGAAGTCAGTGTAGGTTCCGACGGAAGTGAGCTGTTCCATCCTTCCTGACCCAAGACCTGTCATATGCTGACCTGTGTGCGGGCGATGCTCATCCATCGCATCAGTACCCATCAGCGCGCGTTACACCAGCGCACTCAGCATGTCATGTGTCGCGGGCCGCGGCAGGGGCGGTTTGGTGTAACAATTTATCCTACGCCAGCAGCAGCACCGGATCTAATCTAGAAAAAAGTTCTTACTCCATGTATTTATCACAATTACCGGGAGCGTTTATTCTGCACAGTACTTGTTACTGTACAAGTCCGTGTTATGTTCCGGTGCTGTAACAGTTCCGTTTTTGGCCCACAGGTGGCGCTGCCGTCGGACCCGGCCGATGTGGTAGAGGACGGCGGCGCAGACCTACACGTGGAGCGCGTCTACTGCGGTCACCTGTACCACTTCGGCTGCCTGGTGCAGTACATGAAGACGCCACCGTTCGACGGCGGTAAAAAGTGCGAGCTGTGCGGTAAGAGAATCTTCCACGAGAAATACAAGGTGTCGCCACAGCTGGCAGAGGCGCGCTGGGCACAGGAGCAGGCCCGCGAGCGGGAGCTGGGAGAGGTCATCGACTTCCTGCAGTGATGTGACATCGTGACCGGTGGTGTGACTCGTGGTGACGCGCTCGGTGGCGTGACATGGACACTGCCTGGGGCTGCTCGGCGGGGAGGGGACTGGCTGTCAGGGGGAGGGTTTGCTGTGTTTGTGTGCACTGTGTACTCGTGCGTACCCCTCCCGGTGCTGTGGAAGTTCGAGCGGGGTGTAGACAGCCGGTGTGGCCGGCTGTGGCTGATGTATACAATGTATATGCGGTGCACTACCTACTACCAGTGAGACCCTAGTGGTGTGTATCGGCGTGGCTAATCGCTCGTAACCGGTAAACTATTCGGGTTTATGTACCGTGCTGGGGTCGCTTTTCGTGTGATATCGGTGTAAATATAATGCAATGAATGATGTAGGTGGCGATGTCAATAGCATGACTGGTGATGACCGAGGTGCAACGTACTACGTAGTACGTACTCATTACTAAAGAAACCCATTCTCTCAGAAAACGGTCGGTAATCTCCCTACATGGCGCGAGTTCTACGAGAAACAAGCATATATTGTCACTGATTTCACTTATACAAGAATCGAAATGCGCACTTAACCTCGCATAAACTACACGATCTTCCACCACACCTCACTCGTATCATTACGCGCACATACACACACCTGTCAGCACAGAATGTCCCTGCTGACTAGCTCTCCATCGCCGGCGCTGGCGCTAGCTGGTGCCGGTGGTCTCCTCCGCCAGCTGCTTCTGCTCCTGCTGACGAGCGAACAGCTCGCGCAGCTTCTCTGTGGCAGTCTGTTCGCGCTGCGGCGCGCGGTAGCCCTCCTCCTGTCGGGGGGGGGGGGATGGGGGTCACGGAACTACAGACACGAGATGTGCCCCCCGGGGGGTGGGTAGTTGCCGCGATTGCGTGGGAACGAACAGCCATACTAGAATGATTGTTGAACGCGTTTAACTCGTACCATGGGTGAAACTTTGACATCACCATTGGGGTCCCAAACGTCCAAGGGGGCCTCCATTTAGTGGGGGCCTCCAAGCAATTAGGGGCCTCCAATTGCGGAAGCGGTAATTTACGAACCACGCCAGGGCCTCCTCTAAGAAATTTTCATTGGGGGACCAGAGGCTCAGAAGCCAAACCTAGGGTACCCCCAAATCCAGTTTTCTTATCGGATTTAAGCCACTTATATTTCGTCACAGCTCTGATGCCATGATTATTTTTTTTAAATATTAATAAAGAAATGGTAGGACCTGACCCTAATGGTGGATTCAGGCCAGCAGGGTGACATTGTATGTAAATATCCCCCCGCGGCGTCCGAAATCGACGAAAATTTCTGGCTTTTTCACTTTTGACAATAAAACACAATGCTTTTATTATAGAAAACAAAAAAGAATTTAACGGCACAGCATTGCGCAAGGAATCTAGCCGACCCCAGAAAGTGTGAGATCCTTCGCCCGCACCTGGGGGGAGGGTTGCCACCCCCAAGTTTGTTTTTCTGCTCTACACTTAACATTTTTAAAGCTAGAAACCTGATTTTTTTTTTGTATAGCTGCTTTTCCTTTTCTCAGCGTCCATTGAAAATTTCAAGTCTCTGTGGCTTTTGGGTTTGGAGATATGACCTTGTTCTTCAGGTCATGTCATGTCCTAAATGACGAATACCAAATATCTTGCGTTGGGTATGGGCCTTGTGAGCTTTTGACACCCTGATTTCGGCTTTTTTTTTGCCAGTCTTAACTCCCACCTATCATTGAACATGTTGTTCTGCGATGTACAGATGTTAGGGTCAGGGTCAATGTCAACCTGGGTCATCTAAAATTATTGCGCTTTAGGCAAGCTGAATTTACATTTCGTGAAGTTTCTTTGACTGTATGTTTAGTAAAAGCTTCTCAGTTCATGATCTAGTGTAATAGGGACACACAAACCGATCTGTGCACACATCAGTACATACACAGACATACACAGATATACAAACACATATCATTCACCTTGACCTAACTTAACGTGAAATGACCACAGCCAGCAAATTAGTCGGATAGTGTGACAAAGAGCTGTTCTAGCTGGCTTGACACTAATACGGCAGCGTCATCGGTATATGATGGGTTGGTCCGCTGCTTGTGTAGGTATCTTATTCGACATCACCACAATTTTTCTTACAAGATTTTAAGCTTTGCGGTCAAGAGCAACAGATTCTTTGGGAAGAGACGAATCCAATGATACCAATTTTACCTCATCAGGTCAGTCATTGACCTTCCAGGTCAGGTCAAACTAAAGAATGTTGCTGTTTGGGGTCACCGTTGCCCGTTGAAATATCACATGCGCTGCTCATAATATACCAATGACGCTGCCGTTTTGTGGTGCCAAGCCAGCTAGAACCTCTTTGTCACACTATCCGACTAGGTTTTTGCTGGCTGTGGTCATTTCAGGTCAAGTTAGGTCAAGGTCAATGACATGTGTTTGTATGTCTGTGTGTGTCTGTGTGTATACTGATGTGTACACCGATTGTGAACGTGTCCATATTACATGAGATCATGAACTGAGAAGCTTTTACCAAAAATACAGTCAAAGAAACTTCACGAAAGTATATTCAGCTTGCCCAAAACGCAATATTTTTAGACGACCTAGGTTGACCTTGACCCTGACCCTGGCACCGCTACATCATTGAACAACATGTTCCATGATAGGTGGGAGGTAAGACTGGCAAAAAAGGCCGAAATCAAGGTGTCAAAAGCTCACAAGACCCAACGCCAACGCAAGATATTGGGTATTTGTCATTTGGGTTATGACATTACCTGAAGAATAAGGTCATATCTCCGAAACCAAAAACCACAGAAACTTGAAATTTTCAGTGGACGCTAAGAAAGGATAGAGCAGCAGCTATACGAAACATCCGACTTCTAGCAATCAAAATGTTTAGTGTAGAGCAGAAAAAAAAACTACCTAGGGCGGGGGGAATGGGTGGCAACCACTGCCACCCCCCCCCCCCCCCGATGTGCGGGCGAGGATTAAACAATTTGAATATCAGGTAAACAATTTATTCAAACAGGTATTCCAACAGAGTCCCGCTTTTTATAGGTGACCTCCGATTTGTGTTGCATCTAAGTTGCCCAGGGGGCCTCTTATTTGTAATTGTAGATACATACAGTACAGATAGCCTCCTACTTCGACTACTTGCACAGAGAGCCTCCTAGTGTATATACAGCTAAGCTTCTACAGGTCAAGCGCCGGTCTCTTGTACGTACAGAGAGCCTCCTACTGTTACAGAGGGCCTCCTGTTTGTCTAGGGGGCCTCCTATTGGTTAACGGCGCCTCCTATTTGTCCAAGCGGCCTCCTATTCGTCTATGGGGCCTCCTATTTGTCCAGGAGGCCTCCTGTTCCTCCAGAAGGTCCCCTATTTATCCAGGGGGCTTCTATTTTCCAGGGGCTTCCTCTTTATCTAGGGGGTCTCCTACGTGTTCAGGGGCCTCCTATTTGTCCAGGGGCCTCCTTTTTATCCAGGGGTCCTTTATTCGACCAGGGGTCTCATATTTGTACAGGGGCCTCCTATTTGTCCAGGGGTCTCCTACTTGTCCCGGGGCCTCCTTTTTTAAGGGACTCCTTTTTGTTTGAAGGGAGCCTTCTATTTGTCCAGGGGGCCTCCTATTCGTACATAGGGCCTCTAGCTCCTACTTGTCCATGGGGCCTCCTATTTGTTCAAGAGGTCCCCTATTTGTCCAGGGGGCCTCTTATTTGTCCAAGGGGCCTGTTATTTTTCTAGGGGGCCTCCTATTTGCCCAAGAGGCCTCCTATTTGTCCAGCGGGCCTCCTACGTGTTCAGGGGGCCTCCTATTTGTCCAGGGGGCCTCCTATTGGTTAAAGTAGCCTCTTATTTTCCAAGCGGCCTCCTATTTATCCAGAGGGCTCCTTTTTTAGGGGGCCTCCTCTTTATCCAGGGGGCCTCCGTCTTGTTCAGGGGGCCTCCTAATTGTCCAGGGGGCCTCCCTTTGTGAAAGGGGCCTTCTATTCGTCCAGAGGGCCTCCTATTTGTCCAGGGGCCTCCCAATTGTCCAGGGGGCCTCCTTTTGTGAAAGGGGCCTCCTATTTGTCCAGGGGGCCTCCTTTTGTGAAAGGGGCCTCCTGTTTGTTTAGGTCTAGGACCTCCTATTTGTCCAGGGGGTCTCCTATTTTTGCAGGGGGCCTCCTATTTGTACAGAGGGTCTCCTACTTGTCCATGGGGCCTCCTATTTGTTCAGGGGCTTCTTTTTTGTACAGAGGGCCTCCTATTTGTCCATGGGGCCTACTATTTGTCTAGGGGCCTCTTATTTGCCTAGGGCCTCCTATTTGTCCAGGAGGCCTCCTGCTTGTCCAGAGAGCCTCCTATTTCTCCAGGGGGGCCTCCTGTTTTCCGGGGGGCCTCCTACTTGTTCAGGGGGCCTCCTACTTGTTCAGGGGGCCTCTTACTTATTCAGGGGGCCTCCTACTTGTTCAGGGGGCCTCCTTTTTGTCCAACAGGGCCTCCGATTTGTCCAAGGGGCCTCCTATTTAAACAGAACCTTTTATATGAACATCGGACCTCCGTTTGCAAAGTAGCTGGTGCGTCTCGGGGGCCTCCACTATTGGGGTCCCAAAATGACAATTGGGGTCCCAAATGTTCGCATTGGGGTCCCACATGGGACCTCGAAAGTATACAAAGTTACACCCATGACTCGTACTTTGGTCAAATGACCATGAAACGGGCAATCGGCTGGGCTTGTTGTAAAAACACAGAGCAGAACATTGACGACAGCGGTCCCGGTAGACGGCGCCCGCGGCGCGGCGCGCACTCACGCTGGGGAAGGTCTCGAGGTTGGTCTGCGGCGGCACGTTGGTCCACGGCGTCCAGACGCCCTGGATGGACGGCCGGTCGGTGTGTTGCATCTTCCTGAGGCGCGCCACCGGCTCGCCGGAGCTGCCGCGCGCCACCTCCAGCCACTGGCGCAGCTCCCGCTCAGACAGGCACTTGGCACTGAGAATCTCCGTCTCACCGTTCACTGTGGCATTGTGGGGAACGGGTCAACCATGGACATGACTGGTGCTGCAGTGGGAGCTGACATGCAGCACCTCTGATAGATGAACAAAGCTCATAGCAATGGTATGGCTTAATTTTAGATGCATAGCATTATTTTCACTTTTCATTCAACTTACAATTAGGTAACTACTGTCTCAATGAGCCATTCAATTGACCCTGTATGTAACAGCCCAGATGCATGCACTTGATTTCTACAGCAGTGCTGCCTGAGTTGAGGATGAAGTGGTGAATACTCACAATATTCCAGCTTGACGTGTGGAGCTCGATGGCGTCTGGGTTTAAGATATACAACGATGCCTGGATTCTGTTTGGCGAAATCCACCACCTGGTTTTCAATAAAATCCCTGAAAACATGGGTTCTCATCAATATTTGCTGGTGTCCTGAAACCCACGCATCCATCAGTTTTAGAGCACCAGTTTGTGATCTGAATCGCACCACAGAAAACCTACCACACAATTGACAAGCCTTCATAGATAAGGTCTCACTCATTCAGTCCCACTCAATTTCAATCAAATAAAAACTGAGGATAAAGTTTTAGCACACAAAGATTATTACGGACTGCCAACTAGCACGCATCAAGAATTGCTTGTTGAATTGGTAAATGTGCAGCATAACCAAGCCCTTGTTAGTGTATCTAAAAAAAATCCCATTTAAGTTCTCAAAAACATGAACCACTTAAAAGGCAAAAATTGGTCCATAGTTATGCAAGGATTCTTTGGGGACAGTCAGTTAGGGTAGAGTTCAAATTTGTTTTTATGATTTGATAATTCAAACTAGTGCAGAGAATTGCTAAGAATATATTAAATTGATATAATATTATGTGAAAATTGTGACTGCATTAGGTAGGTATTATTCAAACCTAATAGCATGAAAACATTATAAAAACACGAGAGCAGGCTGAGGTGCCGGCAGTAGAGTTTGACATACAATTAATTTGCGAAAAATATCACATGTATGGTTTCTAATGTTTTAACCAAAAACAAGTGCCTTTTTGTAAAGCCTTATTTTTCAAATTGATATGGGATTGAAGGTGGGGAGCACCTCTTACCTACCTCACTCCTTTACTATCACTGTGTTCCTTACAAAATTTCACAGTTATTCTCTGTAACTGACCAACATATCGCCCTATCCCATTTTGAATAGGGGCTTTCACAAATGACGATTTCATAAATAAATGCTTGAACGACATGACTGTGAGACTCTTCAAAGACACTGATCAGGAACAATCAAGGCTGATCAATGCAAAGTAACCTGATCGCCTAGCTCACAAATAATGATTGAAAGGCTATATTTAAATTTGTGCATGAGCCTCCTGTACTTCAACTTATAACAAGACATTCGCACACAGACGACACGGCCGGGACGCGGCCGAAGTTGTGAAGTCATTTTGTTTTCTTTATTAGACTTCCTGCGTGCGTAAACACCACCTGACCAATCAGCATCAAAAACAGCTGAAACTCCATTGGTGATGCAGCTTTTGATGTAATGTAATTTGGAGTGAAATTGCATCATCAAACTTACAAGACTCGCTGGCTGAAAACGAAGGTCAAAGGACATGCTGTTTTTTTATTTAGAGCTTCTAGTGACATGCAGGCTAAAATACGAAGATCGTTGCCAATTATTTCATTGGTAGAAACTTAGCAAGAGAAACTTAAAGCACAAGCTATTTGCATCATTGGCCCCTGACGTTTGCATAATCCAAATACTCGAAATAAGCATTTGACAGTTGTATTTGATTCGTCCGTTCCTTTTGTTACGGTTGACAAGCTATTCAAAGGTGACAAGATGCAAATTTTTTTTTCTGAGAATTTGCACCTTTAAAAAACAATCGGCGTGGAGAACAGTGAGGAGAGTAGCAGCCAACGGGACGCATATCGTCTCAAAAGTGTCATTTATGTTTCAAAACAAATGGAGCAGCTGATGATCCTTAGTAATAAAATTTTCATGAATATTATTTAAAGTGGGCTCTTTACATCATGAACAGCCAATTTTTTATTAACAATATTTTGGTGAAGCTTAAAAGAGGTTTCACACGCTTTATTAGCGAAGAGAAACAACTTTGACACCCAATAAAATACTCGGGGCATCGTATTTCGCTAAATAAGAAGTCACTTCTTACTTTTTTTATCTAATTATCAAAAATATTGCCTGCTTTAAAAGCAAAAGCCACACAGACTTGAAAACCTTTCACGTTTTTATTTTGCTATAATTGACATGGCAGCGTTGCCGGGGGAAGGTCTTTCCGGTTCACCATGGCGGTGAGTGAATGGGGCGTTTGTGGCGAATTGGATTTTTGCCGATAAATACTTTTCTGGACGTTTTTTGTCATCGAAGAGGAGTTCAGAAGTCGTACACGCTATTTTTCTCCTAGTGAGATCAGTCTGCGTGCTGCCGAAATTTTACAACCATGATTATCTCGCTCTTGTTGCTACATAGGGCTTTATGTTTAGTGTTTCACTGTGTCAAGTTTAGCTGGATAAATTTATGTTGTGCCAAATATGAGTCTGATTCACCTTTGAACTACAACAGTTTTTAAACAAGGGAAGATGATGATTCAGGCAGTGAGACTGTCAGCTTAGGCTGTTAATTGTTATGCTCTAATAATACCCAGCAATTTTGGCTCGGAACAGCATATTAAGGTGAGGGATTGGGTATTCATGTAGCAGGCATCTCACATGCTGCCACTGATACTTGTGTTCTTCAGACATGTACACAAAGTTTGGTTTTAAGTCTAATCAAATAGCCTTACAGAAAAAAAAACATCGCCCTGGACAGCTGACCTAACTATTCCCACTAACCTACAAGCTACAAAGTTACAACTTACCAATGTGCAGCCTTCAGCAAAGTTTTGTAAATATCTCGAGAGTTGGAGGGTAGCCATTTTTCATAAACTGGTGGAAGCATCTGAGAGGCGTGCTGTATGATTGCCATGGCATTGTCATATGATTGCCATGGATTGTCCTGGGCCTGGCATTGTGTAAAATATTTTACTTGACTGTTGTTAGTTGCAGCCTGTTTTGTTTTATGTTACGTGATTTGTAGAACCATTTCTGACATACCTGCTTGTCTCTTTCAGGACAAGTCAAAGAACCCCATGCGGGATCTTCGGATCCTTAAGCTATGCCTGAACATCTGTGTTGGTGAATCGGGTGACAAGTAAGTACTATTTTTCATTAGTTCTACAGTTACATTTGTATGCTGATGTTCAGAAATTAATGGTAGATTCTGCCCTGGATCTTATCTTTTGTGTAATTAGTATAATGAAATGAACCAGTGAAACCAGTGGTGTGTAATGATTTATGCAGTTAGTGTAATATAAACAATGTGGTCAGTTTCCAGAAAGGTAATAGTGAACCCTCACTCCAAGACTGTTTGTTACATTACATTAGTGGAAAATATTCCCAAAACTGATACCCTGCAGGCTGTATTTCAAGATTGACACTGTGGGGTAATTTTTTGCATACCGGAGTGAGCAGTATTCAATGCAATGCTGGGCTTGATGTGGTTATCAGAAATTATTGGTAGATTCTGCCCTGGATCTTATTTGGGATAATTTTCCTACAGTCCAATGCATGATGAGAGAAGTAAGCCTAGAAGTGGCTATTAGAAGTTGTCTTACCAGTCAATTTATTCCAGGGATGGTATTTGTGTAGCAGTCATATTTGTTTTCTGCACACTGATTTCTCAGGAATGATAAGGTGTCTTGGCTGAAGCTAGGCCTCTGAGTAGTTTATTAAAATATGCTAGGAAGAGATTAGTTTAGTTTTATGTTAAACTCATTTTGACACTGTCATTGACACAAAGAGTATCATAGTCCTATCCCAACTTGATATCTTGTCAGTATCACCACTCATTTAAAGCTCACCCTAGAGCTACAAATTATTTCATGAATACCTATGCAGCCACGTGGCATGCCCAATGTGACATGCCTATCCTCTATTCCAGGCTGACCCGCGCTGCCAAGGTGCTGGAGCAGCTGACCGGCCAGTCGCCGGTGTTCTCCAAGGCGCGCTACACCGTGCGCAGCTTCGGCATCCGCCGTAACGAGAAGATCGCCGTCCACTGCACCGTGCGCGGACCCAAGGCCGAGGAGATCCTCGAGCAGGGCCTCAAGGTGAGCCGCCGCTGCTGCTGCTGCTGGGGGCAACTTGAACTGTCAGATCTGTTTCCTATTGTGATCAGGAAAGATTTGGAGTTGCTGTCACTTTACGGTAACTGGTATTTGAGAAATATGAAAAGGACAAGATTGGTTGTTCTGGTGACTGATTCGCTAAATGGAGTGTTATTTTCCTGGTTCATGGGTCATTGCAGCTGGGGCAAATTATTTAGTGGTTATGTCTGGAGTTTTGGACTAGGGAGAAATTTGAGATGTTGCGCAGTGTTTCGCTAGAACATGCTGTGTATAAACGACAGTTATGCACCACTCACCAGGCATCAATGCCGGGCTAATGCCTAATGGGGCCTCGTTTTCCGACCCGGCGTTTAGTGTCTTCCATCGCGTTTTAATTCACGTAGACTTTGTAACCGGGACGAGTCACTGAACCGTCTTTGAAATGGCGGCAGATGGCGGCACCGTCTACCATTAAAAATTCCGCGTTTCCAGCATCATGCTCACCTTTTGTAATTTGCTCCCGTCTAATACGATTTATCGAAAATGCTTGCTTGATTTTCATTGCGCATTTGAAAGTGACCACATTAAGGATGAAATGGAATCATAATTCAGATCTTTCCCGCATGCCTTGCTTGCAATGCCCACCCATGTTTGCGCTTCATGTTGTAATGTGCGATTTCATGGTCCAATCTCGGTACTCTCCTCGTCCAGCCCTGGCCCGTTGTCCGCCCCTCTGGTGTGTCATTTCCCCGGCACTGACGGCCGTCCGACGTCCCCACACAGGTGTGCGAGTACGAGCTGCGCAAGGGCAACTTCTCAGACACTGGCAACTTCGGCTTTGGCATCAAGGAGCACATCGACCTGGGCATCAAGTACGACCCCAGCATCGGTATCTACGGCCTCGACTTCTACGTCGTGCTGGGTCGGCCTGGTGAGTGTGCGGGGGGCTGTCTGAAAGACTGGGACAGGCGGCTGGCGCTTACCAGCAGTAGTTGCTGCTGGCTAGTGTCTACTGCGCACGGCAGCGCAGTAGATAGTGTAATAGCTGCATCAATTAAGTTGTCTCCTGTTCAACTATGCTTTCAACTGGTTGGCATTTGCTCTCAACTGCCAACCATTTTACTGAATTTGTGACTGGTTAGTACCTAACCATGCTTTTTGGAATTCTCTGCATATTTTCATACCGTAGTGTGTCATTAGATTTTCGTAAGTGCTATGATGTATAAAACTTCTCCCGAAGTCCCGAACCTTTTTATTTTTGTTATTATGTTCTGTGTGTTTACGGCAGAGGCTATATGAAGCTCACTTGCGTTCAACTTTGCCCTGATTCGGTTTTGATCGTGCTGGCGATCGATAGTACTCTGTGTTCGAAGCCATACAAAGGGGCTGTGTTTGTTTTCATCGCAGCTGTTGGTTTCTGTTCATGATCGTTAAATCTCCATCGTGTCTCATGCTCTTCGCCCCGGGGAATATCCCATCTGCTGTTAGCGTTCCTGGTCTCTAACTGACGATTCTCGCTGTGTCGGCAGGGTTCAACATCTCGACCCGCCGGCGCCGGAAGAGCCGCGTCGGCATTCAGCACCGGGTGACCAAGGAGGACTCGATGAAGTGGTTCCAGCAGAAATACGATGGAATCATCCTCCCCACCAAGAAGTGATCACCCGATGTAGTGCGATGACCAACAACAAAAAAAAAAATACACCAAAAAAAGGAACAAGGTGTGTTATTGTGGGATGGGGCAAACCGATTGGGAACCATTGCAAGTTGCGTTTTTTCCGATGAGGATACCTACTCAGTTGTCTGCTTCAGAAGATTGATTGAGAACATGCAGTGTTGGCGTTTAGTCTTCGGAGCTCTCACTACAGGGTGGACAAAAAAGGATGGAAACATTTTGAACTCGCATAAAATATGTGTTATTGCATGCAGGTGACTGAAAATTATACCAAACGAGAGTACATTTCGTGGAAATTCATAATGACATCTCTCTCATCCGCTTTCTCTCGTTTTCATTTTCCCACAGCAAAAAAATCGAAGAGGCCACTTTTGCGAGACAGGCAAAAAGCCACATGTCCGCTGGTTTGGCTCGCACAGCCTTGGTGATCACTCTCTTCAGGTAACAGATGCCTTTAGAACCTTCCTTGTAGACCGGGCCTTGAGATGACCCCACAGGAAAAAAAACCATCGGGGTCAGGTCAGGTGATCAGACAGGCCAGTTCCGACACGCACTGCGGGATATCAGCCGGTCACCAAAGTGGTTCTCGCTCCACTTGAGCGTTGTTTCGCGATGTGAGGAGGCGCACCGTCTGGCTGGAATCACATGAGGTCCATGAGACTGCCATACTTCGTTTGGGCTCACTTCAACAACTTCTTTAGCGTCGCTTGGTTCTTTTCAACTTCTTTAGCGCTTTTGGTCGTCAGCCACGGTGTTGTCGCTCCCATCCTCGAACCGAAGTGGAACTGGCCTGTCTGTCTTCTCACCTGACCTATGGATTCCTTTCCTGTGGAGTCATCTCAAGGGCCAGGTCTACAAGGAAGGTTATGTAGGCCTCTGTGAACTGAAGAGAGCGATCACCAAGGCTGTGCGAGTCATACCAGAGGACATGTGTCATCGGACTACCGCGTCAGCCGGCAGGCTGACGCTCTTTGCCTGTCTCGCAAAGGTGGCCTCTTCGAACATTTGCTGTGAGAGACTGAAAACGAGAGAAAGCAGATGAGAGAGATGTCATTATGAATTTCCACGAAATGCTCTCTCGTTTGGTATCATTTTCAGTCACCTGCATGCAATAACACATATTTCATGCGAGTTCAAAATGTTTCAATCCTTTTTGGTCCACCCTGTAGTGGCGAGAGCTTGGTTCGGGTTGATTCTACGCTGAGGTACTAGCTTTCCCTGATGGGAGGCCTGCGGTTTTTGACAGTGATCGCAATGCGTAATGCTCCCCGGTCCCTCCCCGGTCCCGATCGAGCGATAGAGGTCAGAACCAAGTCCACTTCACAACGCTTCTACTTTGGACTAACTGACTGCTGAGTCTGAGCTTACGATCTGTTGCACATCAATTTTTTCAACGCTGCATTGTTGGCCCAGGTGTGTATTGGGTAATCGCTGATAGAGGGCTCTGCTATTCCTGCACTGCACGACGTATTGGCGAGCAGTCGTTCGTTTACCATTGCTTCGGCAATATCCTGGCAGCTGCAGTTTGTGAGCACCACCACGGTATGGCGCGTTGGCCGGATCATAAAGTGTATCAGCAATGTGCTCAGCGTAACTAATCCCTATCCCGGTGGAACGTATTGTGCGGGAAAACGATGGTGATCTCAGTCCGCCGCTCACGGCAACAAATTGTTCTTGCCGCACAAAATTACCGGTTCTACTCGGTAACAGCCAGTCTGCCAGGCTGTGCATTAGTGACTATTATGGTGACTTTTATCGGGCGAATCAATGTGCTGGAGTAGAGTCATTTTCACCTGGATAGGCTCGTCCACAGAGTTAAAAGGGTTGGTTTCAAGCAAGAGGGCCATGTTACAAGGCACGCTGCCAGCGCATTTCGCGAGCTGACGTCACACATGTGGTAGTGTCGGAGCAATGGGCTTGTAGATGTCTCTATGGGAACCAAAATTGCCACGTGTGCTGGCAGCGTGCCGCTGAAACACCGCCGAGATTTCGAGCGATGGACAATTTTGGAGCGTGTTAGAAACCATCACAAAGGTCTCTGAGCGAAAAAGTTTCCGTGTACCGTCACCACTCACCCAGCAAGTTGGATTTCAAAGCACTATGAAGGCACACTACCACTACCGCTAGCGCGACACTGGGCATCGAGATCCGATTACTGACTTGCTTTCAGGAAGATAGCGTCCCTGTCACATGGACTACAAGGGGTTCTGTATTGCTAAGGGCTAAGGGGCGGTGACTCCCCTGACAGCAGAGGGCGCCCTCGGTCCCCACTCGAGCGAGTGTAGAGCTCCGTCGCGGAGAAGGCGTTAGCTCGTAGATGGCGTCCCTATCAACTCGGGTGAAGGGCTTTGCTGATAAGATGTTAGCTCCTAGATGGCAGCATACACACCTGAAAATCTTAACTACTAGAGACGTTTAGGGCACTAAAGAGTCTCCCGACACTTGGCATTACATCCAGTCGCAAGCCGCCTTATTTTCACGGTTGTAGTGTGCACCTATGTGTAGAAGTAGGTGGAATGAATGAGGCTGAACTTGAGGACGAGATCCTGCAGGATGGCGATATTCGATCCCGCAGCAGACCGTGTTTCATTCCAAGTGGCTGGTATCATTTCCTAATGATAGGAGAAAGCAACACCCGGAAGCGGTTTCATTTCATTTCAGAATAAATGTTACTGTGACGCTTCTGAGAACTAGCCCTAACTAAGTTGTGGCATACCGGTCGGTGAGGCTCGCTAATCGATACTCTACAAACCACAGCTCCCCAGCATAAGTTTTGGGACATAAAAGCGGAACGTGTAGTCTTGGCTTAGCTCAACCCTAGTGTAGCTATGACGGCCGAAAGGTCTGAATGTCATTGTCATTATCCATGCACGCAGCATGACCTCATTCACCTCCCGTTCACGCCTCCAGTACCGACATCGTGTCTCGCTACCACACAGCCTCACACCTCCCTCAAACACCACAGGTAATCGTGTTGGGTCCTCACCACAGTCGCTCCTGCCGGACGGGGTGCGGGGCCGGGTGCACCGACCTGTCTGAGGCGCTGTCCGTCTCCGGCCGTCCTGGCCACTGAGCCGTGACGCCGACCCAGCCGGTGGTCCCAGAGGAGCCCCAGCGGCCGCCACTGGTGCAGCCGGTGGTGGTGGTGGTGATGTCTGGTAGTGGTGCCGCTGGTTATGTCTGGTGGTGCTGGGATGGTGCAGAACTCTGGCTGCAGACGGACCCACCGGGCACTCCAGGTCCTTCGCCCGACATTATACTGCGGGCGGCGCGGCTACCTTTCTGCTACTGATGAATTCAGGAAATTCCCGTGTAACCGCTACCGCCCCACAGCTCTCCCCAGGGCTCGGTCACTGCCCTCTGGCAGAACGGTGGTCATGGGCGTAGGAACGGCTGGAACATTGTGGGTGCATGGGTGCAGAAATCCAGCCATGGCCGGTGAAGCGGGGGGGGGGCGACACCCGAGCGAAGGCTCGTTACGAGCTTTGAGGGTGTACCATGTCGAAAAGGTACCAACCGATAAGTGCATTTGGAAGCATTGACCCTCGCATGTGTAGGGGGTCGGATGACCCCCCCCCCCATGGTTGTTCGCAAATAACTCGCGCAAAAAGCGGCCGATCGCGACGAAACTTTTAGTACCCTCGAGTTGATCAGTTTTACACCTGCTCTAAAAAATTTCATGACCCTGACCCAAAAGACCTTTGACCTGTGACCTGATTCTCGAGACCATGTTCGGCCGGAATCGCGATTTGGCGTATGTCAGCTCACATTATCCGCGCGTTTCCAGTCTTTTTGTGATTGTAGACGTCCAAACATGTGAAATGATGTTCTTCCCATGCATCACGGTGGGTGTGAAGATAACCTGAAGGTCAGGTCAGGTCATTGACCTTTGATGACTTCGGTTCACTTTTTCGAGTTTTACATGTTTCTATATAGGGCTGATTTCGAATTTAGCATCCATTTGAACGTTTACGAAGTAGTTTTAGTGCTTTCGTGACATGCTACGACGCCGTCAGTGGTAGTTGACACCTACTATGGATAGCCGGTAGGACGCCTAATGGTTGACCTGACCTGACCTGACCCGATCTGGCCTAAATGCATGAAGAAATCATCTGTGATCAAAACTAACATCAGATATTTGTGATCAGCACCCCGAAAAACCCGATACCTAACAGCTTCACTTTACGCAGTTCTAGCAGATCCGATTTTCCCGACTTTTGGAATATTGACCTGACCTGGAAGGTCAACCACACTGTAAAAACCCATGTCAAAAACCAGCACCCTGTACCTGCTTATTTTAAGCAGGCTAACTGGGTGCTAAATTTTAGCACCCTTTTCGAAAAATAGCTCCCTGTGCCGGCTTATTTCAAGCACCCTAAATGGTTGCAGCCATTTAGGGTGCTTAAAATAAGCCGGCACAGGGAGCTATTTTTCGAAAAGGGTGCTAAAATTTATTACCCATTTAGCCTGCTTAAAATAAGCAGGTATAGGGTGCTGGTTTTTGACATGGGTGTTAAACTTTTTTTTACAGTGCAATGAAGTAGGACCTTAAAATTGGGTATCATCGGCTTCCTCTCGTCACGGGCAACACCCTCGTTTTTTTCCGCGAAGCTCTAGCTCGATCAGGGGCCGAACGGCAGGGGGTCCGACCGACCCCCCTCCCCCTACACATTAGAAGCTGGAAAACGCTGCACACATTCGAGGGCTAATATTGTCAATATTGACTACCGCAAAAAGTAAAAGCGGCCAACTTAGCCATTTTCGAAGATATCGGGCTAAAAGTTTTGACAGTGGGTCATCGGTTCGGTATGTGTTCAATGAAATTCTCCATTTCCCTTTTTTTCAGCACAAATGTAAGTTTTGAAGACCATCACTGATCACAGTAGCAAATGCTTCGAAAGATGGATAGTAGGCAACAATCAACATATCCTGAATTTGCCGTGCTGCATGGGAAGCAGTGTTGATGAAAAAGGGGTTTTTGGTTCAGATTATTGTGGGTGCAGAATACATTGTCTGCACCCACTGGATAAATATTGTGGGTG